ATGATGCTCATCTCTAACTATTTCAAGCAAACACCTTTTAAAATTAATGGGCTTTAATTGTTCTCTTTATGAATGGGGAAGGTATGTATATTTGATCTAAATCATTCAACTTATACATCATTCAAAAATTTTCCAAAAAAAAAAATTAAAATTAAGAACTAGTAGAATTTAGACCTTAAATTAAATTGAACATTGATTCTCTAGAAGCTTAAACACGAGACACTCGTAAATCCAAAGTAAACTGTCATACATTCACTATACCTCAAATATATGTAAAAGATATATTTATACATTATGCTCTTACAATTACTAAAAAAATACCATTCCCTTTTTCCATTTTTTTAATAATAAGGGTATGAAATGAAAGTTTAACAAAAGACGGAAAACCTAAGATAACACTGCTTATGACTATTCCTATTCTTAATACAAGAGATAAATAATTAATCTGGGAAGATTAAAAAAATTAGTTAAATTATTTATTTATAACAAATGTGTGTTGACTTTTCTAAATTATCCTATTTAGTGATGTATATTAGAACTACTTCTTCATGGAAACCCTTACCATCAATAGGAATATTTTAGAGAAAACATTATAAATTTAGGAGACAAAGTCGATTAAAATCTTATATTTATAATCAAATACAATCCCTCTAATTAGTTATTATATTTAGAATCGGAGGTAGAATTAAAATTATGAACTAGAAAAGGCTTCCAGCTGAAGGAGGCTTCCCTAAGAACCATGTCTTAGGAATTCATTTGTTCTGCCTCTTGAGCAAGATAGCGTAGGGTACCATTTATGTGATCATTAGTCACCATTCATTTTGTCCTTAGCCAGTGCCTTATTTCTTTTTTTTTTTTCCTTTTTTTAACGAAAATAACAAACAAGTCTATTGGAAAAACTACACAAAAGAAGAGCTTAGCTCAGAACATCAAGCTCCTAGCTCATGTCAGCTTTAAGAAGATATGTGTACGTTCTATAAGAGGGGTTTCAAAATCAACGCGAGTAATCAACTATCTGAAGTCACGATCATATTAAATTTTTTGTATGTATTGATCAATAAAGTATGGAAGAGTGGATGTCTTTGAATATGAAGATTGCCTAAAGAAAGGAGACTTCCTACGAGTTTTTATCATGTCACTTGTGACTTTTATGACTTATTTACAATCTTCATAGCTTAGTTAAATTATGTGTTGATTTTTTCAAAAAATACAACCATTTGATATTTTTTGGAATTAGGGTTGATTTTTTAAAATCAACTCCAATCCAAAAAAATGTCTATTTATTTATTCTTTCAAAAATAAGTGTCACTTTTATATTGCACATGCCCACATATGGCCCAGAAAGCTTCATTTTTAGACCTCATGTGCCCACTTCGATATAAGAAATTTACCTTTTAGACCCATCTTGGAAACTAATCTAAAAAATAACTTTCAAAATCAGTTATGTCTGTGCTCTAGAAAGTACTTGACTTTCTATACTGTTCTTATTTAGATTGATTTCATATAAGGTCTAAAAAACTGTTTTTAACCGGTCTAAAAAGCTTCTTTTTTTCTTTTTTTTTGCACGAGTTAAAGTATCCAATTATAACTTTATAAGTGATGATGCTTCCAATCTCAGGGCACAAATGTGAGAGAACTTCACCCCTCAAAGAGAATGTCAAGATTTTTACTCAAGGGAGTGTTCTTTGGGTAAAAAGGGCTCTAAGCCTTCATAACAAAGTCCAACCTTCATGCAAGCCCAACAAAGTTCTAAACCATTGAAACTTAATCCGTCGAAGTAGTAGGCATGATGCTCAACTTCTAACCCAAGCCTTAATCTAGTTTCCACCACTATCTTCCATGAGACCTCACAGCTACATCAAGACGAACCCAACCTTAAGTACATTTAAGGTAGACTCAATATAATTGTAGCATAAGGCACACATTTTTTGTTTATATGTGACTTTAACATAAGACCTAAAAGCAAAACCACGTCACACAAAATCCAAGAATCTAAACGCAAAATAGAGTACCGATGCTACCCGCCAGTCAAGACACTGCCACCATGCAAGAAACTACGGAGCAACAAGATGATTATATGCATATATTGAACCAGAAGAAGTACAGAACGAAAGCCATCTAAATAAGCCACTAAGGACCAGTAAGGTCAAAGATGGCACCTCTTCAGGTATTGAAAAGTTCTCTGGAAAAGCAAGCCAGAGACAAAGCTTAGCATGAAACCAGTTTGCTTCGGAGGCGTAACAAGAATGATTTGATTGATCACTTCTCTATGGAAATATTGTTCCCTTTTCTTAGTATCATCCCAACCTCCTATTCGAGACTCATTCATGTGAGACTCGATCTCCATTGTGGCCATGGTGAATGAGCGGTTCCTTTAATGGAGTCCATCTATCAAAACCAAAAGGAAAATTATTACCGTTACCCACTTTAACCCACAAACAGTTTTTGTTGGTGATGAGGCCCTATCAAAGTTTCGTGATATATAAGCTAAATTTTGGCCCTTTGAGATTCTTCACTCTCAACCCTCCCTCTTTTATATATCCTTCTTGGCACATTCACAAGAAATCAAGTGCTGTTTTTTTTTTCCCCCCCTCTTGTTGCGCAAAATTCTAGACAACTTACGGGAGAAGTTTGATTGCACATTGTAACTAGGCATGGCAGACAGCACTAAAAGTTTGATTGGAAAAGTACTTCCTACAAGGTGAAGATCTTTCCTTTTCCAACTTGTAAGTCGAGTTGATGTTTTCTGCATCCCCAAATGGAGCGTATCTAAGAATCCTTATACTTAAATGTCTGACTGAATATTTTATTAGCACATGATAACCGAAGGCAATCCAGATGCAGTTATTGATTCCATATCAATTAAACATGTCTATTAGTTTGTGTTTGGGCATTCAGTGAGTCATTAACATTAATATCATTAGTTTCTTGTTACAACACATCAATTAAAATTAATCTACATGGACCCAAATTCACATGGACAAATAATTGGCAAGGTAGCAGTATGGGAAAGACTAATTGATAGAGCCTTCTGCACCTGTGATTGGCTCTCCCTTATGTCCTGCTTCCTATGTTGTTAACTCTAGTATTGCTGCTTTGGGATTCTTGTATGATTGCCAGAACAGTTTTTGGGAACAAAAAGCAAAGTTGAAATGGAAGGAAGAAGGGGAACGCAACACTAAGTACTTCCATGCCATAGCATTTAAGGGGAAAGCTAAGAACTTCAAAACCTGCCTTAAAAAGAGAGGATGGAACTTGGAAGATTTGTCAAGCTGCCTCTCTAATTTCTCATCTCCTTCAGGCTCATGATTATATTTTCTTCGAGTGTGATCTACAATCTATCTCGTGTGAAGGAGGTCCTAGATATATATAGCAGATGACCTGGATAGTTAGCTGACAAAAGCAAATCATCTACTATGTTCGTTTCTTTTTCTTTTCTTTTCTTTTTTCTACGAATCATCTATTATCTTCAGTCCTATTTGGGTTCACCATGACAAATATCATATGGGTAATTTGCTAGGAGTCAGAATAGCAGAAGAATTGGGAAAATACTTGGGCACCTGGATTGATGTTATGGGAAATAAGTCAAAAGCGGAATAAACTCTTGGAGAATGAAATTACTCTCTCAAGCTTCAAGGTTAACTCCAGCTGCAATCATATAAATATATATATATATATATATATATCTCATGTTAAGCTCCCAAAATTTCCATTCTGTTATTGATTCTGCATGCATAGATTTGTTTTGGGGAGACTCAAGAAAAAAGCAGCATCCATCTCAAGAATAATTTTGCTTCTCTCTCCAGTGGAAGAGGGTGGCTTGGGCATCAAACCTGCGACTCTTGTAAATAAAACACTGTAAGCTGTGCAAGTTTTGGCGCATCATCAATGCTGATCCTTCATCAATTCATTTCAGTTCTCTGGGAGTTAAGTATATCGATTTGAATCGATTTGAAAGGAATTTTTTTCTTGTGCGCATTCAATTACTTCAAAACTGCAATGGAGGATTGGGACCGATTCACATATCCCTCTGAACCACTCTCTTTGGCCTCGTCACAATCAGGCGCCATCTCTTTTGCGGATTTAAATAGTCAGTAAGCAGTAGAAACCTCCTGCATTAATTTATTCAAATGTGGGAGGTTCTTTGAATTTTCGAAATAGTAAATAACAAAATTAATGCAGTAAATAATCATACACTTCATTATTTATTATTCTAGTTTTACTATTTATTACTGTTATTTTGCTATTTAGTATTAACTACTGTTATTTCACGGAGAATACTCATACTGCTGACTCGTTTATAAATTATAAATGAGATCTTATATTTTGAGAATCGAAATTAGTATTTATTAAATTTAACTCCCTATTGACTATTTTAATTTTGTTATTTATTACTTTTGTTTTAAAAATTTAAAAAATATAAAAGTAATTTCACTGACACCAGCAATAAGGCTTCAACGTTGAATTTCTGATTATTGACAATCAACAAGATCACTCACTGAAACTCCAATAACCGATGCTTAGGAGTATTTAAATAAAAGGTTAATTTATAAATTTGTCCAAAAATTTATATTCAAGAATGTTGAGTACGTCAAAGTTATTTTGGGTTGGTGGACCTAAAAATTTAAAATTATAACAATGTTGTTAAAAAAAAATTATTAACTGTTAAGATATTAACATTGACAGTTAACATTTTTAATAAAAAAAAAAAACAAACAAAACAAATTTACAGCTCAACCCTTAAATAAAAATGAGAGGCAATAATGTTTTTCCCAATATCTTAAAATTCCATTCAAAATTACATGGACTACTAAAATTCAAATTCTTTCAAAATTTCAGTAGTATTTTAATGCCATTTTCCGAAAAAATGATAAACATTACTTACAGCTCCGAAGAGAGAACCTTGTTAACACGATAAAATTCAACAATGACATCCTTTAATTTCTCAAAATATATTGTAATATTCACCACCAATCATCTACGAATTTGTAAAACTACACTGAATTCAAAGGAAGTTAGACAGATTGGAGTCTGGAAAAGGTTCATTGGTAAAGTTTATAACATCAGTTTTTCCCTATCATACAATTCATCTAGATCCCTCAATACCAAGCCCTCTGAACAATGACATTAGCAATAGCAGGAGCGCATTATAGTTAAGAAAACTGGACCTAACGCAACAAGTATATTAAATATAAATAAATAATAAATATCAAAATTGCCATATACAATGAAAGATTGCAAAAACTAATCTGCTGAGGTATAGTCTCATTTCCTTTTGAACTTCTTGGATGATTTTCCATCTTTGAGACCTAAATATTTTTCAATATCTTCCTCTTCATTATCTCCTTCACCCTTCCTTCTCCTCTTCCCTCCATTCTCCTTCATTTTCTGCATCAGAAAATAAATAGTTTAGCAAAGTCATTACACAGTTATGTAAAGCAAATCATGCTCACTAGCTTACTAATTTCCTCATAATGAGATGTTAACAAACAATATGATAAGATAGTTCAAATCCAAGCTAAATCTTCCAAAGACGACTTGGGTCCATTTAGTTATATTCACTACAAGTAATTCTCCAATCAAATATCACCACTAGAGCTTTTTTCTCAAACCAATACTTAAATATAACGGGCTATTATTATATTTATGAAAAAATCCAAGTGTTAAAATTTGATTGGAGAATTGGTTGTAAGGACAATATTATAATCTTAAAAACAAGAACATCCCAATTGTCTAATAATCGATATTCTCCTTAAACTCATTAAATCATCTACCATTGCTGATAATCTTTTGGCCTCGCTGACACGCTCTTCCAGAAGCAGAACCTCTTCTTCCTGCGCAGGATACTCTGGTAACTTCTTGCCTGAGATATGCAAATTACATATTTAAACCTTATTCCTTCATTGGAATGGCAAAAGCAAAGCCCGAAGGGGATGCACAACTTACCTATAAGCTTCTCTATCTGAATGTACCACTCCAGTTCATATTGATTCACAAGGGAAATGGCAACGCCAGATCGCCCTGCCCGCGCAGTTCTTCCCACACGATGTATATAATCCTGTAGCTCACAAGATCAGAAATCCATTGCACAGAAACAAGTGACAAAATTTCCCAAAAAAAAAAAAAAGCTCTTCTCGTTTCACAACTTAATGAACTTAATGAGTCCAGATCCGTGTAAGTCATGCCCCGTAGAACCATGATATTGAAGACAAATGAACTAAGAATTATGGTATGATTGTGCTGATCAATCTCAAATCACACAAAAGTCAATAGAGGTTTGAAAATAAATAGTATTATTACCTTTGAGTTTGTAGGGATATCATAGTTGATAACCATATCTACTGTAGGAATGTCCAGACCTCTACTTGCCACATCTGTGCAAATAAGAATATTGCAATCTCCAGACTTGAACTTGTTCAAGGCTCCAAGTCTCTTTGACTGTCACAAGATACCCGTAGTGAAGGTTATAGACGTCTCATTTGCACACCCAGAGACGTGTACTTTCTCTGATCCTAGCATCCCTCTCATGCTCTCACAGAGGTAAAGTAGAAACCAACAAATTAGAAATATCCAAATCAGAATAATTACCTGGCTCATATGACCGTTAATTGGGATGGCTTTGAGGCCCAAATTTCTAAGAGTTAAAGCCAGGAGCTGGGTCGAATCACATGTGCGGGTAAACACCATGGACGTACTTCCAGCCATTTCAGTCAGAATATAGACGAGGTAGCAATCCTGCAAGTGACACACGATAAAATCATGAACATTGTCGTCAAAGTCACACATGATATTAGTCATGAAACCAAATTCACAAAAAGGAAGCACGATATGGTTAAAGGTCCATTAGAGTCCATATATATTGCCCTAGGGGCAAAATAGGTGATGTGTGGAATCAAAAGACTAATTCCATGAGTTTTAAAGAACAAGGATGGCCAACACGAGAACAAGCAGAACGGCAACTCAGCAACCTCATGCGCATAGAAGGGTAAGGAGAGACTGTCTGTTTCTTTTTCTTTTTTTTGGGGGGGGGGGGGGGAATAGAAGCCAGAGGGAGATACAGAGAGAACTCAGAACCGGATTAATCTGATAACAAACGACATAACATAATCAGGGCCCTGGGCCCCTTTATTTATAATAGCCTAAAGCCGCCTATCGGTTAGGTCACAAATATCTAACATCGTGACTACCATGACTAACTAACTCCTACTCCCTTTAATATTTACAGAACACAACCCTCCCCAACTAACTAAAAGCCCAGGAAATTTATCTCTTGCGTATCTTTTGGACTCCTGGCCTTTAATGCAGGTAATGGTTCTGGAACTGGAAATTCAAATGACCTTTGTACGGCCACATTCTTTTCCAAAGCCTTTCCACACTACGTCACCTTGATTCTCTACAGTCTCACTACACCCATAATATAGAAAGTATTAATGATAAAGACGACCATATATCTGGGAATTTGCACTTTATCAGAAGTCTTTATGATAAAGAAGCTACTGACAAAAAGTCCTTTTCTTCTCTTATTTGATTCTCTACACTCACACTACAATAGAAACATAAGACTTTCGACTAAACTTCACCACTGAACATCCCAGCAAGTTCTTGTTTTCTTTCCAACTCCCCAGGAAGAAGTTTTACAGGGACAAATCACTATGGAAACCTAAAGGTCCTTTAACAGTGGTACTCAACAAGATCAATTAAAACGATAAGCTGCAGACAGAAGAACCACAAAGGCCTGGTCATAAATGCTCAATGTGTGATAAACGCTGTAAAGTAGCATATGCTTCATTACCACATTCTCTCTTTCAGACCGTATAGGCTGCATGTAGTATATACTCTTTAAAAGAAAATCATAAGCACAAATAAGGGGGTGTTTTGGATTCGTGAAAAAGTGTTTTTCAAAAGCACTTTTCCTCAAATCTAGGCAAACTCCTCCACATATTTATTTCGTATACTGTAAAAGCACTTTTAAATCCATTGTTTTGTTTCCACCCAAACACCCCCTAAGATTTCCATTTGATCACCAATGAGTGATGCAACCTATTTTTTAAATCACAAAAGTGAAACTAATCTATGACAACACTATCCCATTAAATAGAACTCATTACAGCAAAAGAAAATAAAAAGACCACCAAGTATAAAAAAATTCAATCAATTCTAGCAAAACTTTTCAGACAAGGATGAACAAAAAAACCTTGTGCTTAGCAGGCAAAAAGCGAAACTGCTGCTTCAAAGTGTCGACAGTAGAATATTTAGATGCTGCTTCGATCTGAATTAGGTCACAACATGATATTTAGCAAAATCTGAAGGGCTGAGAAAAACTAACGTAGAAACAAATATACTAAGTTGATTGTACCTTCACAGGATTCCTTAAACAAACCCTTTGGAGTTTTTGGACCTACAACATCAAGAATGGAACTCGTTCAATTAGTACTAATTATGATGGCAGATAACAAAAGAAGCACCTAGATCTAAAGAGGCAAAATTTCATGCCATCAAGAATACATTATGAAGAAAAAAATGCAAATGTCTTTTACACCACATACAGGTACGGAACCAAGGGTTATATGAGAAACGGGCAGTCTCCTCCCTCCAAAATGATACGAGCATGTACATATGGATAAAAGTAGACCCCCCCCCCAAAAAAAAATATATATAACTCTTCGTAAAATTTTCTCTTTTAATTCCTTGAAAACATCTAATGAATGCTTTTAAGAACTAATGAATCCATTTAAGAATATTTTAATATATATCTAAACAAAACATATATATTTCATATTAATCTTACTATTATTATTTTCAAAACAATAGACGCGTAAAATATGTTTAAAAACAATTTCATTTATTCATAATTATAACATATGCCTCTTTCAGTATAAAATTATGTTAATTTATTTAAATTTTATTATCTATTATTTATAAAGCGCACAATTCGCAATAAATCTACCATTATGTACCTTCTTAGTCATTGTAGCAGAAAACAGAAATGTTCTTCTCTGTTGAGGGATAGCTAGCAGAATCTCATTTAAAGATTCCTCAAAATCCTCATTCAAGAGCCTGTCAGCCTCATCTAGGACCTGGATAAAATGCAGAGAGATCAAGCATCTCGGAATAAATAATACAGAAGTCAAACTCAGAGTACATTATAGAGAACAGAACAGTAAAATATTTTCTACATCTTCAACCAGGTCAAGCTTCCATAAAGAATGGTTGCTTGATCAACACAAGGCAGAAAACCTACAAGATATGCACACGGATTGCCAGCTACAACTAATCTTTCTCTCAACGTAACGACACAGCAAATTAGCAAAGCAAGAACCACATAAATGAAAATAACCTAAAATTAAAACGAGGAACATAAAAATATCAACAAACGTCAATCCACATCAGATAACATTAGTCCATTCACCAAAATCAAATGATTAAATCATCTCCAAAAATCCTTCATTGCTCTAACCATGGAAAGCTCACAAAAAATAAAAATACAGAAACTGTTAAGCTTGCAAACCAGAAACAAATAAGGTGGGCAAATAAGTCCAAGCATGCTATATCTTTGGTCTGAGAAAGAGAAATAAGCCCCACCTAATTTTTCATGCTGCTTAGAATACCCGAAGAAAGAAGGAAAGAAAAAAATGGAACATGTGCAGAGTCTTAGAGATGATATAAGGGGATGGGAAGTGCAGAAACGTTTGCCTTGTTTATTTTTTGGTTGAGTTAGAAGGGAAGAGAGAAAATAAAAGACAATTTATGCACGCATTTTTACATTAAAGAAAAAATATGCATAACAAATGAGTTCCCCTCCCCCCCTCCCGGGGGATAAAATGACATCAAAAATTATAGTTTCTCATGCAAAACAACTGCTCCAAAACCAGCTGCAATGAGAAGGGATGCAAAACTCAGGGCCCGCATCTCATTTCCATCCCATTGCCCACTTAGGCATCCAACTAAATAGCAGAGTAACTCCTTCCTTCACTCACTCCCCTTCCCATTGAACCAATTCCCTAAAACCGAAGTGTTAGTCTAAAGTAATGCTTTTCATTTTATGAGAAATTACTATTTACTATTTTTTAAAATATAAATGAAATTTTTAACCAGCCCCATCATGCAGCACTCAAACTGACAAAATTTACCACTCTAAAGAACAATAAAAATAGAGAATATTTTGGAAACACGACAAAGGGAAGTTTATGTAACATTTATTTATAATTGAGTAAAGGTTGTACAGTTTGAGATACAACCAATGCCGGGCCTATATAGAGTTTAGCTAAACTAATAAGATGAACAAATTAATAATATTCTAACAACCATAGAAAATGTTCCTACAAACTTATTCATCGCAAGAAATCTCTGAGTAAGAACAAAGCAATGTACGTGCATTAACTTTTAAAAGAACAATTATCAAACGCCCTGTATGACATGCTAACAATATTAGACAATGAATGAAGCCCATAAAATGCATACTACTAACAGATGAAAAATACAACCACGCAAGCCCATTCCCCAAAAAAAAAAAAAAAAAAAAAAGCTAAAATCAAATGAAAATATAAATTCTTACCAAATATTTCAGTCTGTTAAGAGTAAAGCCTTTAGTGTTTTTTAGGTGATCTATAACACGACCAGGTGTCCCAACCTGCAAGAAAAATCACAATCATGAATGCAAACACCACCTAAAGCTCAAAAAAGTTATGTGCACACCACATCAACACCTCCTCCCACATTCACTAATATTCTAAGAAATCGGAATTTAAAAAGACAATAGGCGCTCCTTAACTATTAGCAGATGATATTGGAGAACAAGAAACTAAGAAAACGCATAGGCATGTCTATAGTAACACTTACAATAATATGAGGCTGCTTTGCTATCTTGATTGCCTGCTGCACCATCTCAATCCCTCCAACTAGCTAGAGAAAAGGAAGGTATAACAATTAAAAAAGACTGTTACACTAAGAATATGTAGAAAAAGAATACAGCCACCAAAACACCACATGATACAGTTAAGCCTACAAAAATTGAGCACTATAAGCAGATAGGAATGACTCATGAAACTCATGATTGTCAGGCTTGGTATGAAATGGTTAACAATGCATAAATTATAAACAAAGACCATAAGACAGACATTATTTACTAAGCAGTAAGCAGACAGCCATTGAGTGTACGCACAATAAAACATGCCAATACAAAAATAGACATAAGCTTACCACAGCACACTTGACACCAATTTCAGCACCTAATGCTTCAAACTGTTCGGAGATTTGAATAGCAAGCTCTCTAGATCAAGGTTAAAACAAAAGCAAAAACAAAAAACAAAAACAAAAAAAAAAAGAATAAGAAGGAAATCAGCCCCATATCAGTGAGAACAATTTCAGTCTATTAAAGGCATAAATTCACAATTAAATACAAGATTAGATATCAACCTTGTGGGAGACAACACACAAGCAAAAAAATCTTTTGGTCGCGGCGCTTCAAGAAGGGCATGCAGTATGGGAAGAGCGAAGGCACCAGTCTTCCCAGAGCCAGTTTGGGCGAGCCCAATAACATCCTTTCCTGTGGAAAGGTCCATACAGAACTACCATCAGTATATATTGAGCTATTCCCAGGAAACCTATTGGAGTAAGAATTTACGATAAATTTAAAATAATGGCATAAAACATCAATAGCCATAGCATTAATTTTCATTTCTATTATATTGATTAATTATCTAGCTAATTCTATAAAGCAATAACATTTCATTATCAATGGTATATAGCCGCAATTCCAAAACTTCAAAAAAAAAAAATTGCCGTGGCCAGGGGAACAACTAATAAACCAATATATTAGATCATCAACCTTCCAGTGCAAGAGGAATTGCTTCAGCTTGAATCTTCAATGGTTTTTTCCACCCCAACTTTTCACAGGCTTCCACCAGCGGCTCAGATAAGCCCAGATCCTTAAATGTCACTCCTTCAACCTCTTCTGCCATTCTCAGTAACTAGTCTGCCAAAAGAATCGAACTCATTATCAAAGAAATCAATGACTCAATAAAGAACACGATTATTCATGCAATCCTCTGTTTCAACAAGAAGAAAATAGAAAATTCAAGAAGTGAATATGAACGTGTAGCGACAGATTCAGGGATTGGGATAAGGAGAGGGATTGTAAACCTTCCTTGTGTGGCGTCGGAGACAGAAAGCAAGGAAGACGAGCTGAGTGAGGATCCTCGAGCGTTGCGTCGGCTGTCGGCGTGAAGGAGAGTAGAGCCCCCAAACTCGAGCTTCGCGCCCGACTGTGCGAGTGAGGATCAGAGACTGGAGGAGGGAGAGAGTGAGGCGTGAAGGAGAGGAGAGTCCCCGGCGCGGCCTAGCCGGCGTCGAACGGAGGGGAGGAACAAAGGGCGGCCGAGAGGCTAGGAGGAGGGGTTCAGTTTCAGTCGAGTAACAATACGTATGGTGGCGCCAAGACAAGAGTGGACTTTCGTTCGCTTTGCCAATAGGGTTTCCCTTTGCAAAGTTTAATGTGACTGTGAGCCCCGGTCTTCCCCAAATTTTACTCCTTTTTTTTTTTAATTTTTGATGAAGAACTGGTATCAAGAAAATTTATTTATTTATTTTTTCTATTAAAAAAATAATTTAATTTTTCCATAAAAAATAATTTAGTTAGAATTTTTTTTCAATAAAACCCTGAAAAAATATGATAAAATATTTCTCACATATTTAATAAGGATGTTAGTGAGAAAAAACATTCTACAATTACTTCCCATTTCTATTATAAGAATTAATTAGAGATTAAATTTTGTTTTAAATATAAAAATTCAATTCACTTGATCTTTATATTGATTATTTTTCACAAACTAATTTACTTAGTTTATAAACTAATGAGGATTTTTTTTGCCCAACAATATGTTATTAATATTTTAGATAGATTATATCATTTTCAATATATGTCAACTATATTAAGATGAGAGAATAGTAAATTAGTAACTGATTTTCAATTTTTTCCAATGTAAGTTGGCGCGATAATTTACACGAGTATATTTTGCTGATCCCATATTTTCAATTCTCTTGCATGAAGCCTCATAAAAAATAAAAAAGTTTAGATTGCAAAAAAGCACAAAAGAAAAGGTAAGAGAAAAATGAAATTAGTGTTGAAGTTGGAAAAAAAATTTTCCAAAATTATTTTTAAAAAGTGACGATATTTCTTTTTTTTTTTTAGGGACAATGGCATTAAGATCTCAAGAAAGAATAAATACTACAAAAAGGTCCCATATAAATCACATATAGATTATGACCTTGTTTGCTATCACGATTGAAATCACTTATAAATACATTTTATGTAAGTTGAAATAAAACTCCTCTCACATACTTATCTTGTATTCCATAAATCACGATTAAAAAGCTACTTATAAGATACTCCAAACAGGTCCTGTAAGTTCCAATAGGACTTCACTGCAAGAAAATCAAAAGCTATAATTACGTTTCTTCTTAACGATTTAGAAGCAAAAAAGCAAAAATTTCAAATCAAGAAAATAGAGTTTATCAATCATCTTTCCCATCACCATCATTAAAATTGAAACAACTTCCCTCTTCATTGTTTTGACCAATTTTTGGGTTTGCGACATTCATCTCCCTCTTCATCTTGCTGAGTTGATAATTTAAGTTAGAGTTTCATTATAGATAGATAGAGTAATGAATGTATATTCTATTTCTGGGCATATTATGGGTGGCATGGTGCGTTTCTATGTGATTAAGTAGGAATGAATGAAAATGATTATGATTGTTGTGGGCAAAACGCCTAATACTAAATGGAAAAATGTGTTGTCAATAGAGCTCATGACAATTGTTAATATAGTTACTTGACTTATTAATGACAATTATGTTGTACAGATTTATATTAAAGATGATGAATATGTCCAGAAAGCATCTATTTTTTTTCTTTTCATTGTGGGGAAAAGTTTGCAAATGATGATAATGTAAGAACAATAAACATAAAGAAAGATACGAATTATAAAGAGTTGAAGACAATAATATCATCATTTGTTGCCAAAAAAAAAAACTCATTTGTTTTAAAATTCTCAAACAATTATGTATGTTTACATTTGTGGATATTGCAAATGATGATGATGTAGAATATTTAGTAAAGCTCAATAAATAAAGTCATCATATGTGAGTAGGAGAGAAGGAAAATAATTACAATACAAAACTAATAATGAATGATGCAATAAGACTAGACATAGTGCCAAAACATGAAAGAACCTAAAGCCTGGCTAAAAAACATGCCATAGAAACCATCTTTTTTGTATCCAGATGTGATAGGAACTTTTGTAAATGTGACAATACATACCAATAGTTATGGTGTGTTTGGGATAGTAGTGGTAGAAGTAACTTTTTTCAATCTGACTTTTACAGAAATCAAATCGAGTAAAAGTCAGATAGTATAATGTTATTTATATTTGGATTGGGTTTTATAAAAAAGTCAGTTTGAGAAACTAAAACTTGTTTGGATGATAAATGTAAAAATAAGTTTATAAATAAAATGACTTAAAAAACATGAATTTTATTAAATAGTACATATCTAATATTAGATATATACTATGTGACTATTTTTTAAGAAGTAAGGAAAATAAAATTATTAAAAGTAAATAAATTTAATTTATTATTAGAAAGAAATTATATATATAATGTGACCATTTTAAAAGAAGTAATGAAAATAAAATTATTAAAAATAAGGAAATTTAATTTATTGTTAGAAAAAAATTATATATATAATGCGACCATTTTAAAAGAAGAATTGAAAATAAAATTATTAAAAATAAAAAAATTAATTTATTATTAGAAGGAAATTAAAAAATACTAAAATACTTAATTAAATATATGTAATGGAAAAATATATATAAATTAGAAATCATACAAACGTAGTATTTTTAAACTAAATACATCATATACCTAACAAGATGCCATGCTTAATACAATTTGGTCTCTGATTGTGTCACGTACATGATTCATTTGTCTTGATCTGGTTAAATTTGAGGAGGATGTCTCACCAACTTGATCATCATTGTCTTTGTCAATTATACTTTTCAGATTGAGCTTGTATGAAATCTCTATTAGTTTTAGAATTTCTTCGGAGAAAATTATGTATAGCCATTGTAGCATAAACTATTTGAACTTGAGTTTTATACCTGTATTTGGGGATCTTGTCTAAGATGGGAAACTTATTCTTCCACACCCCAAAAGTCCTTTCTATAGTGCACCTCAAACTTGAATAATAATAATTGAAGATTTCATTATAATTTTTGAATCTCGGTTCTCACTTGAAGTTTGGAAGTTGATAGTGCTTACATCTATGTGGACCAAGATATCCTAGTGGAGTTGGATAGCCAACATCGACCAAATAATGATTCCCTAATAAATCATGAAATTATGTTGACACTGTGAAATTAATGTAAATATAAAATGAATTCGACGTAATTAAAAATGAAGCTAATGAAAATATACCTTGAGGTGGATGAGGGAAATCCAAGGCTGGAGTTGATATAGCAGTGTTAAACACACAAGCATCATGTGCAGTACCTTCCCATCCCGCCAACACAAAAGTAAAACACATATCCCAGTCACATACAGCCATGACGTTTTGTGTCAGATATCCCTTTCTCCCAATATATTTGTCTTGCTTCGAAAGACTAACCACACGTAGGACGTTAGTGCCATTAATTACTCCTATTGCATCATTGAAATATGGCGAATATCGTCTATCATTTTTTATTTTTGGGTGAGTTACGGAAAACATAGGTTCGAGTGGTTTGATATATTCCCTGGATAGACTAAGGCAAGCCTGTATTACTCTCTAAAAATGCCTACTTAAAGTTTCTCCTAAATGTTGAACCCTTTCTTGAATCATCATATTATATTGTCCATGACCAACTATGTTAAAAAACATAGCGACAATTTCTTCCACTCCCAGTACTTAGAATTTTGTAAACCATGTTCGGCTAGTTTAGAGCACAATCGCATGAACATTTCTTTTTCCATTCGAAACATGTCATAACACCGGACTTCATGGTCTTGTAAAATTTTTTGCACCCATAAATTACCTATTTGCTAACTCGTTCTACATGGCTCTTTACACATATAAGGCATTACATATTAACTCACAAATACAGCTACCTCTTTATACTGTGTTATCTCTTCATGTAAAAGGGCAATCAATTGAGATTGTTCATCTTCTTCTGACCTCTTTTGAGACTATTCATCTTCCTCCATCCACTTAAACGTAAATTGATTGTTCCAATTTACCATAGATAATGTCACCTGTGAGTGTGGTTAAATTCAACTGTAAGCATTTTTTTAAGTGACAAATAAATATTTTTTAAGTGAGAAATAATTTTTTTTTTGCTGTTAAACATGCAAACACATAAAAGTCAGTCTAAAAACATTCATAAGCTGCAATTACCACTATAAACAACACATGTAACTTAGAAACATTCAAAAACATTCATAATTAGTCAACAAGTTACATAATTTCATAATTCCATGAACACTAACTTAAAAACATACAATAACAACTCTGGTCTGAGTTAGACAAAATAAAGTCATAATATGCGTCCTAAAATATAGTTCAAGTAGGGGGGTTTCAGCCATGACGGTGGGTTGTATGCCATATCCTGTAGCCATAGAACCAAGTATTCTAGCTGTCCTTTTAGTGAAACAACCATTTCCCGAACACTCTTGTGCAGTAGAAGTCTTAAGCACCAATTTCAAAAATTAGAGTTACTTGTAATTTCCTCAAGGCGGAGCACTTCTGCTGTAACCTCAGAAATTAATACCTCCTTTATTTTGTTTAGAATTGTCGTTCTATTTTTAGATGTAGTAGCTATTGCACTAACTGAATCTGCGATTTGTCTTAAGGCTGGATTTTTTTTGCCTTTTCTGCCTACTAGACCCTTCACCTCTCTTCCTCTTCTCATAGCTTCCTGAACCACTAGCTGCAGTTTTGCTGTTAAGTTCATGCCTGCCATCTCATCCGTAACTCCTACACTAGCACCTCCAAGATCTTCTTCACTATTTCCCGATCCTTTAAGTAGATCTGTATCGACTTTGTACACATTCTCTTTGTCATCTTCTTGTGTCTGATGATGAGAGCCTTTGTCGTTCGCCTTGGGGTTCCCAATCAAAAATAAATCCAAGCAATGCAATATAGTGCAAAACTCGAGTCGTTTCACTTTGAGGAGCCTTTATTTGAAATCCTAAGCAAACTAAGTATCAAAAATAAAGAATTGACTTGAAAAGGGATTGATTTTCTTTTTAACTGACTAATTGGCAAAATTTAAAAGGATGCAAAATAAGTAAATAATTTTTGGATTTTTAATTTATAAAATGGATATGAATAAAATAAGCAAATTGAGTAAACAAGTGACAGCAAATGGAAAAGCAATCCTCTAGCTTAATGATTAAAGCTATCATTACTTCAATTAATTTAAGAGTTAGCTAAATTCAAAAGACTCTAAGGGCTATCCCTTATACTCGGTTTAATTAGAATAATCAACACCAAGCCACCTTGCATATTAATTATTCAGAATTAAACTGTTTCGGCACAATTAGCTAAAAAGAAAATCAAAGAAAAGCAATTAACATTTTTAGTCCAATAACCAAGCCACCTTGAATTACCATGGAATGTTCACAATAATTTCAAAACATAGTCTGACCCAGTACAATGTAAAGAAATTAAAGCTAATTACAGCATAATGTTAAATGCTAGTCAAAGATTCCAACAACTACAACCAATCTCAATACAAATATAAACTATCACAGCCCATTCACACATTGTAAAATTCATTCTAAGATCTAGAAATCACAATTATAATGAAAGAAGTAAAGATCGAAAGAGTTGAAACTCCCAGCTCTAAGTTCAAGCCATAGCCATTGCTCTAGAGAATTGGAAGGATTTAGCTAAGTCCCTGCATCATTGAAGCTCCACCGTATGCTTCAATAATCACAACCATAGCAAAACAACAGTGAAGGAGCCAATGGAAGATGAAAGCTGGAGGTATCATTTCGCCGTTCAAGCTCTCTGTTCTGTTCGCTAATCTGGTTCACGTCTCCTCACTCTGTTTGCTGTCTCTCATCCAGCCCTGTCAAGATGAAGAAGATGATGACCCGAATAGTGCCTTCGCTCTCTCCCACTGTGCCTCCTTCAGCTCATGGGTGTGTGTGTTTCTTTTTATTTTTTTCTTTTTCACCGCCGCCACCCAGCTCGCTCTCTCTGCGTGTCCCCCGTCTCTGCTTCTCTGGATTGTGGGTGATGAATTATTGGATATTAGGGGTTATTAGGTGGGTGGGGAGCAAAACGCAACACTTTGCTCCTTTTTTTTAATTATATTTTTTTTCTCTCTTTTTTAATTTTCATTTTTATTTTTAAATCTTCCAAAAACCTGCAAACAAAATTCAAGGATAAGGTAGTATTAATTGTCCTCAAAAATCAATTAGTCACAATTAAACCAAAATATAACAATTTTGCCCCTATAAAAATAATAATTCAAAATAAAACATATTAAATCAATTAATAATCAATTAAGGCCAAAAGGACTAATTAAGTTGACAAAACCCATATAAAAGATATCAAAATATATAAAAATAATTGAGTTTGTCATCTGAGGGTGGGTTAAAGATAGTGCCAACATATCCTTTTCAGATACTATCACACTCTTGAATATCGTGTTTAATTCATGAGCAAACTTCAACCCATGGTACCTAAACTTTTCATATTGGGGATTCTCCTGCAAGAATCCAATCAACAAAAATGAAAGCCTATAACAAATAATAACAACTCATAACTCAAGATTAACAATTATATACCAGTTTTTTCTTCTCCCACCACTCATTTGTTGCCATCACTGTATTGTTTGTAGGGTCCCAACCTACACCAGTCTCTTTGGTTAAATCAACTCATGTCCTCCAATCCTTCCACAAACAACACCAGTGGCAGCAAGAAGCATTTCACATGATTAAAGGAAAAAAAAAAAGAGAACTGTGCAAAACTTTACGGGAGTAAATTCCAAAAGAATAGACTTCTTCTGCTAGAATGAAAATGCCAAAACCTTGTATTTGCAGCTGAAACATCGACATCAACCGTAGCAAGAGAAATAGATATAGAGCTTAAGACACTAAAACTTTTGCCATTTCACATGACTAAACAGACACAGAGCTGAAATACCACAGAACCTCTTTTGTTTAATAGCTATTCCAATTGACAGAGACAGAGGAACCCATAAAAAGTAAAAGAAACCCACATCAATATTTAGCAACCAGATGAAAATATAACTTATAGACAGCCGGACCATATTAGTCACCGTTGAAGGAGAAAGGGGGGTCACTGGAATGGAAGAAACAGGAAAGGGGTAGTCAGTTCAGTTTCCTCCTACCCAGTTCGACAGCCAGACCAGATTAATTGAAAGAAGATCAGATTAAGAGTAAGAAACAAGAACAAATCACGGTCAAGACTCCAAAACCCATAACAGCTATGGGATCGAAAATTCAAACAAGTTGCAGCCAAGAACAAGCGTGAAAGATGAGTAGATCTAGGACCAAAAAAATTGATCTCTTACCAAGTGAAGAACGAGACTGTCACTAGTGTAGATCAGGAGTAAACGAGATCCGGTAGCGATGACAGAACAGACGGCGACCAATGCTTGCAACTGAATGGATGATGAAGAAGAAGAAGCGATGGATAAAGGAGAAGAAGACCACAGTCTAGCCACTCCCACACAAGAACCAAAACGATGAGACGGTGGAACACGATAGGGACATGCCGGAAGACGGCGAGGGCACAGTGGAGATATGGCAGGAGAGGTCGTGGTGTGGCTCCCGTTTAGTTTTAGAGCGTGTTTCAAAATGAGTATGTGTGTCATTTTTTTTTTATTGAGGTGAGAGAAAATTCATGCAAGGTTCAGGTAGGTAAAATATTTTAACACCCACTTAATTTTCCAACGGTATTATCCAACGCTCTTCTCACCCAAAAAAAAAGCACCTTCTTTCAGCTTCTTGCAGAAGTCCATTTCGGCCTCAGAAGTCATATAAAGCAAACATGGGTCCAAACATAATTTTTGAGAAGCCTGATGACTTTTACAGTGGGGATGCACATTTAGAGGCCCAAACATGATCCCAAACATAGCCTTAGTTTGCTATTGGAACATGCAACCTATATATATATATTTTTGTTGTTGTGAAATTAGTGTAATTACATTTATATGAAACTGTAAATGAAAGTTGGTTATAAATTAATATGTTTCATTTTGATGTATAATCGGTTATCATTACCTGCACCCGTCATTGTCAATATGCCCTTCGTCACTTGTCACTTCAATTACCACTTATATAAAATTATGAAATTACTTGTCATTAATTATACACTCACTTATTAATTGTGACATTGTGACTTGTTAATGGTAGCATTATCATCTACCAATATATAAGCTGATATGTATCTATATTAAGTCTTGAAAAAAATATCATTCAAGTAACATAAATTTTGATAATACATTTTGATTATAATTTGATATAATGTCATATAATATTTTGAAATATAATTGAATTGCACATTTAAATTAACATCATCTTCAATTGTTAATATTTTCTGTCTCAATTGTTAATATATGTACCCTTACTTATTAATGGTGTGAGTGTAGCTTGTTAATAGTAGCATTGTCACTTGTTAATTTAAATGCTTATATGAATTTGCTTAAGTTTTGAAAAAATGTCACCCAAGTAATATAAATTTAGTAATACATTGAAATATAAAAGAATTACACATTTGAAACTAACATATATCAATGTTCTTAATGTATATTGTTAATATTTACATCATAAATTGTTAATAGTTGCATTGTAACTTGTTGATTTACTTATTGATATATATAATGTAATTTTAACAATTATTTTGTTTTTTTTTGTTTAAAAAACTAAATATGAAAATAGATTATACATGAATACAAAACCAAATAATAATTTTTTTTCATTTGTCAATTTTTTTGATATAAAACGAGCTGTCAACATTCAGACCATTATTTGTCAATACATCAATCTACAATTATCAATAATAGCATTTACAATTGTAAACACATGCTCATCAACTAATATTTCATTACGACATTTAAATATTATGATATAAAGCATATTTTTACAATAACAAGTGACATAAACAATAAAAACATCAAATGGGTTACTTTCTTTTGCAATAAATGATGATATTGTTGTCTTCAACTCTTTTATAACTTGTATCTTTCTTTATACTTATTGTTTTTCTACTATCCCCAGCATATCACATATCATCTACTTTATCTACAAATTTTCCTACATGAAAGAAACAAAATATATGCTTTCTAGATGTATTCACTATCTTTGATATAAACCTGCATAGCACCATTGTCATTAAGAAGTCAAGCGGCTATATTGATACCTATCGTGGCCTTCATTGACAACACATTTTTTCTTTCCGTATTAGAGGCATTCTACCCACAACAAGCATATCTTTTTCACTTATTCCCATTCAATCATAAATAAACACAAGATGCCACTCACAATATATCTAGAAACAGAGTACCCATTCATTACTCTATCCACTCACAATAAAACCCTTACTTAAATTATCAGCTCAACAAGATGAAGAGGGATATGAATGTTGCAAACCCAAAAGTCTGTCAAGAGAATGAAGAGGGAAATTGTTTCGACTTTAATGATAATGACAGGGAAGATGATTGACAAACTCTATTTTCTCGGTTTGAAATTTTTTTGTTTTTTATGAAACATTTAGAGGAAGAAGCACAAAAATGGCCCTCCCTTTCATTTTTTTTCTTCTAAATCATTAAGGACAAAAATGTAATTGTAGCTTTTGATTCTGCTGCAACGAAGTCTCATGGGGACTTATGACTTATTTGTGATTTATGTGGGATCTTTTTATAATATTTATACTTACTCGAGACGTTAGCGTCATTATTTATTTATTTATTTATTTTTTTAAATTTTTTAATCTGTACTAACACGCATGCTTTCAACTCTCCGACAAAAATAGCGAAACGTGAGAGATCAAGGTTTCAAATCCAACGGGCAGCATCCAAATAGAATAGGGTTTCGCTATCCAACGGCAGCAAACGAATCACCGATAAACTATAAATCCAAGGACGTCGTCCAAGCCACTCCTCTTTCGTCTCCTGCTTCTGCAAGTCACTGCCTTAACCTAATTGAAGCAGGAGCCTCCGCCTCCCTTCGATACCCAGCCACACCGACGTTGTCTTGTCTTTACCCACTGAGCCATGCCTTCTCTTCCTGTCTCCGATATTGCTCTTTCTGAGACTCCCAAAGATAAGAAGGAGAAGAAGAAGAAGATGAAGAACGAGGCTCTGATTGAAGAGGGAGTTTCTGCGAAGAAGAAGAAGGAGAGCAAGAAGCGTAAAGCTTTGGATGCTGAGATGGTGGCGAGTGAGGATGAGGTAAAGAGTGAGACTAGCTCCGAGTTGGTTGAGCCTGATAGTGTGAAAGACAAGAGGAAGAAGAAAAAGGCCAAGATGGATGAACCAGAAGATAAAGAGGAAGAGGTTGAGAAGGAGAATCCTAATGCAATTTCGAACTTTAGGATCTCGGCCCCGTTGAGAGCCAAGTTAAAAGAGAAGGGGATTGAATCACTATTTCCTATTCAGGCCATGACTTTTGCTACCATCCTCGACGGCTCTGATTTGGTTGGTCGGGCTCGCACTGGGCAGGTGTGCTCTTTTCTCCCTGTGTATCAATGTTTGTGTTTTATCTGTCTTGAAACTGTTCTTTGTGAGCTCAGGGTTGACAATAACGCAAAGTAGGTATATAAATCTTTAGGCCAATGAGAACATCATCAAGGTGATGACTTTGGAGTTTTAATTTTATTACCAGATTATAGTGTCATCGGAACGGAACACATCCCAATTCTGAGATTCTGCGTCACTATAGCATTTGGAAAAACATTCTCTGCTCTCTCTCTCCCTGTCTTTTTTTCTTTTAAAAAATTTGTGCATCGTCTTTTATCTCAAAGATTAGTGTTAGAATGGATGCGACCTTTTATTTGTGTAGCCTATTGCCAAAGGGTTCGTTGGAAGCAGTCCTTAATGAGAAAGTTTGTTACACGATGGCTAAGTTTTTTATTTCTCTTTTTATTTTCATATATGTTATCTGCTGAATCCAAAGGTTGAAAGAAGTCGAAATATATGAATATTTTGCTCTCAAACTTATTTGTAAAATTTTTCATGTTTTTCTTACTGTGTAATCCTGTATAATTGCAGGGTAAAACTCTTGCCTTTGTGTTACCGATATTAGAGTCTTTGACAAATGGTCCTACAAAAGCAGCGAGAAAGTCTGGGCATGGAAGGTCTCCATGTGTTCTTGTGCTTTTACCTACTAGAGAATTGGCCAAACAGGTAAATTATGCATGTGCTGATTCCAGATAATATTTTTATTTATAACTGCTTGGTGGTTGTTACCTTCCCCCCATGGTCTATTAATTGTGGAAATGTTGGGCATCAGGTGTTCGCTGATTTTGAGGTTTATGGTGGGGCACTGGGATTGACCTCTTGTTGTTTATATGGTGGAGCTCCATATCAAGGACAAGAAATTAAACTCCAGAGGGGCGTTGATGTTGTTGTTGGAACTCCAGGACGGATAAAAGTAATTACTTTAGCACTTCTTTCTTATCATGGCTATGATAGAAGCTTCGATTTCTTTGTTTAAAATTTATTTTTCACTTGTATATATTTTCGTGTAGGATCATATAGAGAGGAAAAATCTTGACCTGAGCCAACTTAAGTTCCGTGTCCTCGATGAAGCAGATGAGATGCTGCGGATGGGTTTTGTCGAAGATGTTGAGCTCATTCTGGGTATGAATTTCTTTTTTTGTAAGCACTGTGTGCTGTTGCGATGACTTATGTATGTTATGCGTATTGGATAATTTGATAAGTCTACGTTCCTGTCAAATATTAACTGTGCCTGACGCATTCTCTGAATCTGGCTTATTCTAGGTTTTAGGCATGTTGAGGTTTTGAGGTGATAAGATGTTGTCTGTATTTAAATAGTCTTTTATTCTTTTTTTTTCCAGGTGAGGTAGAGGATGTTAGTAAAGTCCAGACACTTCTTTTCAGTGCTACATTGCCAGAGTGGGTTAAGAGTGTATGGTTCCATCTCCCATGCATTGTTACAAAATCTAGTTTATGAATGATCATATGTTCTTTAATCTCATTAGAAACCTGCTTTTCTTTTGCCAGATTTCTAAGAAATTTCTGAAATCTGATAAAAAAACTGCTGACCTGGTGGGCAATGAGAAAATGAAAGCTAGCATTAATGTTAGGCATATCGTTCTCCCGTGCTCCAGTTTTGCCAGGTCCCAACTTATTCCAGATGTTATACGTTGCTATTGCAAGTGAGTTTCTATTGTCCTATGTTTGGTAATTTGGTTGTGCTCCCCCCCCCTACATAGCCACCTTTCCAGAATCTTCTGAATTTTGATTTTCATTGTTTGATGCATGGTTCTGATACAGTGGAGGCCGGACAATTATATTTACTGAAACAAAGGAGTCTGCTTCTGAGCTTGCAGGGTTGTTGCCTGGTGCACGAGCTCTGCATGGTGATATACAGCAGTCACAACGTGAGGTGTGCATTAGCCCTACAACTTCATATTTTTTAGGATAGATTTGCTTGCTTTTTAACCTCTCCCTATTGTAAGCACTCTTACTATATTAACTTAGCAAAATCATATGTTTTTCCGTTTTGTAGGTTACCTTGGCTGGTTTCAGGGCGGGGAAATTTACCACATTAGTGGCCACCAATGTGGCAGCCCGTGGTTTGGACATTAATGATGTTCAGTTGATTATCCAGGTTTGATGGATCTCCATGGACTATTTTAAATAATTTCCATATTGGCACTAATCTGGCATGCTAATATATGAATTTGATTCAGTGTGAACCCCCACGTGATGTAGAAGACTATATTCATCGGTCTGGGCGCACTGGAAGAGCAGGTATTAATGGGATATTCTTACTAGTTAAATACTTGCAGTGTTGGGGTTTTCAACTTTTTGGTAACACTGGAGTTGATGGCATTGGACATTTTAGGTAATACTGGAGTTGCTGTTATGCTTTATGATCCAAGAAAGTCAAATATATCAAAAATAGAAAAAGAATCTGGTGTGAAATTTGAACACATATCCGCTCCCCAGCCTGCTGATATTGCTAAAGCTGTTGGTGGGGATGCTGCTAAAATGATAACCCAAGTGTCCGATAGGTATGTTTCTTTTTTGTTAATTAATTGTGCTTAATGCTATATTTTGTCGACAACTTACATGGGTCCTTAACGCAGTGTCGTCCCTGCATTCAAATCTGCCGCAGAGGATCTTTTAAACAATTCAGGCTTAACAGCTGTTGATTTACTTGCAAAAGCTCTTGCCAAGACTATTGTAAGTCCACAACATTCTTTCCAGCTGTCCTTTCTTTTCTTTACAAGTGCCAATCTTCTGTGATTTTTCCCCCTTGTCAATTCCTTATCTTATTTATTATCATACCGAGAGTTGGAAAAATATTGGTTTTTGATTTCTCTTGTAATGTCCAGGGTTATACGGATATAAAGAAAAGATCACTACTTACTTCCTTGGAGAATTATGTCACGCTACTTCTTGAGATTGGAAGACCCGTTTACACCCCTTCGTGAGAATTTTACAAACTTCTATTGTTTGAAATATTACCTTTGTATCTTAATTTATATCAACATCTAGGTATGATATGCTAGTTTGAACTGCTGTTAGAGGCGCATGGGACAGTATTGATTAATCACCCTTGATTAGAAATGGTTTATGCAATGAATGATTTAATTGTTTTGCAATGTATTACTTCTCTTAGAACTTATATATAGGTAATGCAAATGTGTGCTTTAAAACATGCTTCAGATGGATGCTCACAGGTATAATCCGGCTATTGTTCTTGGATTATTATGTTTATTGTACAAAACATCAAAATACTTGGTCTAGACTGATGCCTTTCCAGTGTCGTCATGGTAGAGGGTTACTATGTTGCACGTGTAGATTTATTTGGCCTGCTTTATTTACTGTTGTTATGGGCCGTTTTCAGATTTGCATTTGGAATCTTGAGGAGATTCTTGCCTGAGGAGAAGGTTGACTCTGTGAAGGGTCTCACTATCACTGCAGATGGAAATGGTGCTGTCTTTGATGTGCCAGCTGAGGACCTGGATACCTTCCTTACTGGTAAAGCTTTCATTACCTAGTTTCTTGGCACTACTTTGAGGAAAATGGAAAGGGCCTTTTCCAGTGTGTGATTGTACTGTGACTCTAGTCCAATGAGATTTGTTATAACCTTTACATAGTATGTAGTAATTCTCTCTCCGTGGGGGATAATTGTTGCGGTATTGCACAAATTGGAGTCTTTGGAGCTATAACTGATGCGTACGAATTTTACATTTTTCTTTTATCTTTCCATGCTCTTCAGTCTTCACCCGTGTATGTCTCAATCATTCAGGTCAGCAAAACGCTGCTAATGTTAGCTTAGAAGTATTGGAAGTATTACCAAGTTTGCAAGAAAGAGACCAATCAAGAGGTAGATTTGGTGGTGGTCGTGGCAGCGGTGGTGGCAACAGGTTTTCCGGTGGAAGGGGTGGTGGCAACAGGTTTTCTGGTGGAAGGGGTGGTGGTAGATTTTCTAATGAGAGAAATGGTAGGTTTTCCAATAATTCTAGAGGTGGGAGAGGTCGTGGCAACAATGGGGCAAAGAGGTGGTGAAAAGATTGAGTGTAGTCTATTTGTGAAGACTAAGGAAGTGGTAGTTTTAGTGTTGGTATATGGAGGATCAAAGTTCTGATGGGCTCAGCTTGCCCGCATAATTAATTCAGAATATTCTTATATTTTGTGTTATTTGTCATTCTCTTTCATACATCTGGGGGTTGGATTTGCCCCCCCAGTTTGTATGAGTTTTTGTTTTGCTTCGCATTATTTTTCTCATTTTTCACTAGATTGTAATATCAGTTTTATGTCTGTATGGAAATTCCAAAAAGAAATTATACTATATATATTTTCTGTTTTTTGATTATTATTTTTGGGTTGTGTTTTCTTTCTTTCTTTCTTTCTTTTTATTTTTTTGACCAGCAGGGTTGTGTTTTCTTTGGTGAACTAGACAGTTTTATCTAGACATAGAATGAGGTAACATTATTTTAAAAGATGGATGTCAAATCATAAGGGCCATGATTTCATGATTTCCATGCTCGATGTAATACATTCTTAAAATCAAATCATTTTAAGAATATCAGAACAAACTTTTCAGCAGAGAAATGGTGATAGTCACTGCAAAAAGCGTTAGGAAAAGGGACAGAAGGATGCTACTGAATTTTTCTTTAACAAAAAAAATTCTTGTTAAAATCACTCATTTATTGTTTTAAAATTTAGCACTTTTTGGTTTTTTGGTTATTTTTCTGAATCGTCTTGTATGTGCTGCAAAGAGCTGTCAAAAAGTTAAAATACATTAGTGTTTTCCAGTACCAAGTGGAGTGAAAATGGGACCTACACTCAAACTTACCTAGTTCTTGTGGTCAAACCACTTCAGTTTGCGGTTTAATCTCGAGTCTTAGCTCAAAAGTTGATTTAAGTTCTAGGCTGCTGATCTGATCTGATTCTTTCAAAAAACCCCAATTAAGGGGAGGTAAGACAGGAATGAAGCGTGCTTGGTTTTAATAATTGGAGCGGAGAAGCGGGAAAATTGTTGGAAAAATTACAATAAAATCCTAATGAAAAAAAATTACTACCAATAGGTCCCAATGACATATTATAAATTGTCAATTTTTTTACTCTGCGACTTATTGTTACAAACTGTTTAGATTGTTACTAAGATTTTTTAATAATTATATTATTTTTTTGAGACTTGATTACAATTCTCCCAAAATTATTTGTCTTTGTATGTTTTCCTTGCCTAGTCTCTTTTCACCCCCAAATTGGCTTTTTTTTTTTGAGAGAAAAATTTATCATCTAATCTTGGCAAAATTACTCATGACAATTTTTAAATATTCCGTAGTCGTTTAACGAACTGTTTGATTAGAAGGCTATTGAGACAAAAATTGTTTGGGTAATCCTAGAAGTATTTTTTTAAAAACTTGAAACAAACTCCTTTACATATTTATTTCGTATTATATAAAAATATACTTTAAAATCATGGTTTTGTTTCTATTCAAACATTTTAAAATTTTATAATCAATTTTATGAAGGTTATCATATCTTGACAAAATTATCCATGACAAGTTTTAAACAGTCCACTCCCCTCCCCCAAAACTCGATCTTATGGTCCGTTGCCTTCTCTACGTAACTACGTTCTACTCTTCTTCTTTAGGAGCTCAACGCCGTTTGGACTGGAGGGAGCAGCCATCATAATCATCGGAAAATCAGGGAGGAAGGGAGCTGAACCAGGTGGAGTCTTCTTCAACGGAGATGCCGCGAGATGGACTGAAAGGCGAGTTGGAGGATGCGCCATCGGAGATTGGGGAGGGGGGTGAGGGAGGAAGACGCTACTGGAACCTCAATCATGCTTAGCATTTTACAACTTGAAAGCAAACTACACCCCTGGTTCCTGTAAGCCTGGCTTTCAGGATTATGCATTCCTCATTTCTAGGCTGCCATGCTCAAAAGTTTGCAGACAATGAGAAGCTTTGTTTGCCTGTTTTGAATCTCATTGCTTTCTTTAAGAGGTGCTAATTAATTTATTTTTAGTTATTTTGTATTTCATTTATTTGAGTTTTAGATTTGAGAATTTTCAAATAAAATTTTCACATTATGGATTAGATATATTATTTTAAAAATATGATTTGTTAAATGGGAATATCAAAGGTATTATCTAATATCTTGATTTAAATTAAATTTGAACAGATGATAATCTCATTCTTATAATATTTTTAAATTACAGAGGGAAACCTTAAAAGGGAATTTGCTTTCTTTGCCTTCCCCAAAATAAAAACCAAGTAAAAAAAAAATTTAATATCATTTTGTGTCTTTTAAACTTATTCTTATTTTAATTCTGATCTTTTAAAATTTTTTACTTAACATATTAGTCTTTATGATTCAATAAAAATATAGACTATTTTATCATTTAAAAGACCAAAGTCTATTGTTTAAAATTTAAGAGAGTAAAATTAAGATGAGGACAAATTTAAGTAGTCAAAAATTATATTAATTTTAATAAAAAAGTGAAATTGCTTATATAAAAATATATTTTTCCCCCTTAAATAAGATAACGTCAAAACCCCTCTGCTCCCCTTCTTCTCATTAAAACCCTCCCGTCTCTGTTCCCCCAATTCCTTTGTTAACGTTGCTCTCCTCCCATTTCCTACCAAACGCACCCTTGCAGAATTCTAGAATTTTCTTTCTTCGGAGTTCGGTGCAGGCGCGAGAAATTTTGATCGCCGCTCTTCCTCGAGGATCTGACAACTTCCCGGTTCGTCTCTTCTATGCCTTAACCTGAGTGGAAAATGAATCCAGTTCTTCCATGGAAGCATCTCTGAACATGCCATTTCAGGATTACGCTATTCCGTATTGTTGCCCGCACGTCTGGCCTTCTTCCTCTCCCAAAGTTCCTGCGAAGCATAAAGCTGCCTATTCGGTTCCATTTCTTCTGGCTTCCCTTGTTCATTTGTGATATCTATTCTTCTTTATTCCCGCTGTCTGATCTGGTTATTTTTCACGGTTTCCATTTTGGGATGACGCTTTGATTGAGAAAGATAATTTTCCGCTTTTAATCTGAGCTGGTCATTTTGTTATTTGTTTCGTTAGTTGCCCGATCATGGGATCCTACAGAAGAGGGAAGCTTGCCCTTGATGCTTTTCGTAATTTCTCTTCAAGGATTATGCCCAAAACCCAAATTTCGCAGCGCAGTACTAGATTTTGCGACTTTGAATACTCGACGACTTCTGCATGTAAAGGAGCTAACAGTTATGGGTTTCCGTCATATTCTCTTATATCTCATAGACTAGGATTACGAGATGGACTGAATAGGAACTCACCTAATCCTTTTCTCACCGGGGCTAGGAGATTTTACTACGTGGATCGGTACAATGTGCAACATTTCAAGCGCCGAGGGCCTAGTCGGTGGCTGCAGGATCCAAGAAATGTCTTAATTGTAGTGATGGTTGGTTCAGGGCTTTTTATCACTGTATACTATGGGAATTTGGAAACTGTTCCCTATACCAAGCGAACTCATTTCATTCTTTTGTCCAAATCTCTGGAGAGGAGGCTTGGAGAGACCCAGTTCGAGCAAATGAAAGCATCGTTTAAGGGGAAAATATTGCCTGCTATACACCCAGAAAGCATACGGGTAAGAATGATCGCTAAGGAGATAATTGATGCATTGCAGAAAGGTCTGAGGAAAGAGCAGGTCTGGAGTGATTTGGGTTATGCATCAGAGCACGCGACGGCACACGAACGTAATGTGCGTGAAACACTGAATGCATTGTCGGAGACGGAAGGGGAGTTTGAAGATAAATGGTACCGCGAGGATGAGATTCTTGATGACAAGTGGATTGAGAAGAGCAGAAAAAAGGGTGAGAAACGTGGTTCACAGGCTGCTACATCACATTTGGATGGATTGAATTGGGAGGTGTTAGTGGTGAATGAACCTGTTGTTAATGCCTTTTGCTTACCCGGGGGAAAGATCGTTGTGTTTACTGGTTTGCTTGAGCATTTTAGAAGTGACGCAGAGGTAGCCACTATTCTGGGACACGAGGTATGTTCATGCATTTCTCTGAATTCTGATTCTCTATATTTACACTTTTTTTGGGTGTGCGGACCATTTGGTCACACTTTGTTTATGTATCTCGATATTAATTCACGAACGTTAGTATTTATGATTTTCTTAATTATTAATCATTGAATAGGTTGGCCATGCTGTGGCTCGACACAGTGCTGAAGGGATGACCAAAAATCTGTGGTTTGCGATTCTGCAGTTGATACTCTATCAATTTGTCATGCCTGATGTCGTCAATACAATGTCAGCTCTTTTCTTGAGGCTGCCTTTCTCCAGGAGGTAAACTTTGTTCAATCTCAGTCACTAAATCTGACCTCTATATAACTTCTGCAAAGTAGAAAAAGCTCTTGAGAAGATCAAAACTGAGCTTTAATTTATTGTGGACTAATGATTAATTAACAATAATATTTGATATGGTGTTACGAAACTAGTAGAATGTCGAAGTAATGCTAAAAATGAGAAGGGAGTGAGGAAGAAGGTTGTGAATTTAAATAACTCATTGCTTCCTGGCCTGGGCACACCTGTAGCTTGGGGCCTTAATCAATTGCCGCTCAATCAGCCTTCAAAATTAAAAGATCAACCGTATGGCAAATACTTTTATTTTTTGGAAGTTAGCAATCACTCCTACAGTCAATGGTTGATAAAGACGACTTTATACAGAAGGGAGCCAATATTCTATAATGGAAAGTGTCTCAGTTTTCATCTTATTCTTCACGACATTATTTTTGTGCGTTGTTCCATGTGTTCTGTTTTGATTTTAAGTTTGCTGGTGCCAGTTGAGCTTCTCCTCAGTTCCAGGAGCATATTTTGACAATCTGACCAAGACCTATCATAGCTTTCCCTCTCTTTAAGTTCTGAATTGCATTATCTCAGGGCCGTTAAACTTAGTATATTTGTGTCAAAATATTTTCTGGTTTTTCCTCCTGTTACTTAAGAAATCATATGGTTGCCTCTCTGGCGATTATTTGGTCTTTTCCATTGAATCTATACGTGAATATTGTAATAAGCTGCTTGTGTTAGTTGTGTTTGAGTGAGTAAAACTCGTTATTTGAGTGAGTAAAACTCGTTATTCGATTTATTAATGGCCTCTGTTATATTAGCATGTATGTAGTATACTATGTGTATGGTAATATAATTTTTCTTTTTCTATTTTAAAATGGACCTATAATTTATTAATTTTAATTCATTTTTCTGTTTAATTTCAAATGGAATATTTATTATTATTATAATCAATTTCAATTCATCTTTGGTAAACTTACCCAGAACTATAGTCATAGTGATCCTCCTATTCAACTGCTTAACTGCGTAGCGTTTTTAGGGCCATGATTTTACTGCCTAACGTTACCCTTATTCACATCTTTCAGGATGGAAATGGAAGCAGATTATATTGGGCTGCTGTTAGTTGCTTCAGCTGGATACGATCCCCGAGTGGCACCCACAGTCTATGAGAAGTTAGGAAAGGTTACTGGGGATTCAGCACTTAGGGATTACCTCTCTACTCACCCATCTGGAAAAAAGAGGGCACAATTGCTGGCTCAAGCTCAGGTCATGGAGGAAGCTCTAACTATATACAAGAATGAAAGGGCAGGTCGTGGGGTTGAAGGCTTTTTGTAGGAAAGCGCAGTCATTAGTTGCTGCTTCTGAGTTCTGACTAGAGCATGTATTGGGGAGTAAGATTTTTATCCCCCTCTGTGCTGATATTTATAGTTTTTTATGGGAAGATTAACATCTTACAATTGTCTATTTCTGTTATAAATTGTACATTGATTGGTATCCTTCAACCAGGGTATCCCTACTTCCACTTTGTTCAACCTCCCAGTAACAGATGGAATAAAATAAGAGAAGTAAGGGGTGTGAAAGGTACATCATGGCTATGAAACCTTGAGTTTCTAGAAACACAGAAGTGTACTGAAGTCGTGAATAAGAATTTTGCAGATGTGTACGAGGGATGTTTTCGTCCATAGCCTAGCTGGTGGCTAAGTTCCATTATATCCCTGTAGATATCCAGGAACCAATTTCAAGTATTTTTGCTTAGTTCTGATCTTTGATATTTCTAATCATTTATTTATTATTCCCCATAGTTGACATTTCTTTTTGCCAATTCATGCGATGCGGTCGTCGATACAAGGTCATTGTTCACACAAGATGTTTTTCTAATAACAAGTAGAAATGTGCCAGACAGAAATCAAATTAGAAGTTAAGAGTCGTAATTAATTACCAATTATAACCATACGCGAAGTGGCTTAAGTTAGAATTAGCCCATTCCGCACGCCCCTTGCTCAGGAAACACATCTATTAAAGAAAAGACGACTTCCTGCGGTCTATTCGGTGCCAAAGAGTGGGCCAATGTGATGGTTTTAGGCCTAGGCATCTTTCAATTGAAGGTCGTTGACATACATCGGCTGGGGGGCAACCTTTCTACATTTTAAACGAAGGCACGGGTGCCTTGCATCCTTGAATCGGTAACCATTTCTCGGTTGATCTAACCTTCTTTGTATACCTAAGTTATATTGTTTACATGGATTATTAACGCACTACACAGTTATGAACAGTGTTAAGAATTTTGATAAGGAGGTATTTGGTAATCTTCATAAGTACTTTTTAAAAATATTTTCAGATAAATCGAGATAATTCTTATTGTATGTATATGTTGTATATCATAAAATCACTTTTGAAATTATAATTTAGATTATATCCAAACATCCTCCAAGACTATTAGACCCTTGCTGTAATAAGACCAAGCTTGCACTTGAAGATAAAATAAAAGCTAACCTGTGTTTAAATATAGAAGGTTACTTTCGACAGCCGCAGCCCTATATAGCGAAACCATAGAAAATCTTCATTAATGAAGTGCTATATACTTTTGATGCCTAACCACGTGGCTTCTCATTTTCGGCGAGAAGGAAGTTTACGCCACAGACACCATTAACGTTGAATATATCCTCAAGACAAACTTTGCATACTATGGAAAGATTCAGCATCAGTTTCGTTCCTACTTGTTTTATTCTAATGAGCTTTCTAATCTTCTTTTATGTTTCTACTTCTTAGGAAGTTCAGTTTATCACTTTTACTCTTAGAACTTCTTCATTCTGAATTTTGATTTTCGTTGTTTGATATAGGGTTCTGTTACAGTGAGGTGTGCTCTAGCCCTACAACTTCATATTTTTTTAGGATATATATGCTTGCTTTTTAACTTTTTTCTTTATTGTAAGCACTCTTGCTATATTAGGAAGCAGGGGACCAAAAGGATTAAGTATAGACACGTTGAGATGATATTTCTGGAGTAAAAATTCCATAGCATGAGGTTGTGAAATCAAGAAAAATTAAGAATGTAACTTCATTGAAGAGTTCAAAAAACAAAATCATCTTTTGACACAATAAGAGTCTTTAAGAGACGGTCTTGTTTATTCCTAGTGAGGAAAATAAGAGAGTTGAGGATTTTTCTAGCCATGAAAGTTTATATATAACTTGTACAAGCTATTTTTAGAATAAACCGCATGTTTTGCCGTTCTCTTTTCTTCTCATTCACTCCTATTCTCATTCATTTTCTGTCCTCATCTGGCTTATCGTTATAATGAAATCTAGATCATTCAAAACATGGTTTGAATGGTTCAAATTTAAAATTTTTAATCTACAATTTTCTTAAAGGATTATCAATTATAAGATTTTTTTTTATTTTAAATTATAGATTTATTAAAATAAAAAATTATTTAAAACATAAAAACTATTTCAATTGAACATGCTCATCTTTTTTACGAGCATGGTCATTTTTTCTGCATTCCCTCGTTCATTTTTGATATCGACTCTTCTTTCCTCTCCCTGATCCATCTGGTTATTTTTCACGATCTCCATTTTGGGATGACGCTTTGATTGAGAAAGACAATTTTCCTTTTGTTTCTTTTTAAATCTGATCTACTCTTCTTTTTTTTTTTAATTTGTTTAATTTGCTGCGCCATCATGAGATCCTACAGAGGAGGGAAGCTTGCCCTTGATGTTCTTCCTAGTTTCTGTTCAAGGATTATACCCGAAGCCCAAATTTCGCAGAGATTTTGCCAATTTGAGTACTTCACTTCTGCATGTAAAGGAGCTAACAGTTATGGCTTTTCGTCCTATTCTCTTATATCTCATAGACTAGGATTCCGACGTGGAGTGAACCATAGGAACCCACCCAATCCGTTTATCCCCGGGACTAGGAGATTCTACTACGTAGATCGATACAATGTGCAACATTTCAAACGTCGAGGGCCTTGTCAGTGGTTTCAGGATCCAAGAAATGTGTTAATTGCAGTGATGGTTGGTTCAGGGCTTTTTATCACTATTTTTCCTTTTGTTGATGCATCGGAAAGACCTTCTATCTCTGTACTGGAAACTGTTCCCTATACCAAGCGAACTCACTACATTCTTATGCCCAAATCTCTGGAGAGGATGCTTGGGCAGACGATATTAGAGAGAATGAAAGCAACAACATTTAAATGGAAACTTTTGCCTGATACACACCCAGAAAGCATACGGGCAAGAACCGTCGCGAAGAACATAATTGATGCATTGCAGAGAGGGGTGAGGAAGGAGCAGGTATGGAGGGATGAGATTGCTGATGAAAAGTGGATTGATGAGAAGAGCAGAAAGAAGGGTGAGAAACAACGAGCTTCACAGGCTGCAGCTAAATCACATTTGGATGGATTGAACTGGGAGGTGTTAGTGGTGGATGAACCAATATGCAATGCCTTTTGCTTACCCGGGGGGAAGATTGTTGTGTATACTGGCTTGCTTGAGCATTATAGAAATGATGCAGAACTAGCCGTTGTCCTGGGACATGAGGTATGTTTATGTACTTGATATAAAACTTAGTTTGATATTCAATTTGATCCTAAATATAAGATCCCAATCCATTTTGTTTTTTATATTTATCTATTTTTTTCCCATGACAAAGTAATTGCATATATTAAAAGTTTCATCAAATAGTAGTTCTAGCTAATACATGTGATTAGTAAGGATATTTTAGAAAAGACAACACATGTATATTACAAATAACTAGTTCAACTAATTTTCTTAATATACTCAAATTACTCAACCAGCTATTATATTAAGGAGCGAAAGTAGTAGTACTATATTGCTCTAAATTTGCAAATTTTTAAGGTGTGGCGGACCTGTTGATCGCACTTTATTTCTGTAAATTGATTAGGTTGGCCATGCTGCGGGTCGCCACGCTGCTGAAGGTTTAACAAGACTCCTCTGGGAAATGATTCTGTATTGGATACTCTCTAAGTTCATTATGGCTAGTGTTGTGGACAAATTGTTAGATCTTATCTCGAGCTTGCCTTTACATAGGAAGTAAAATTTATTCATTATTCTCAATGACTGAGCTTTGGTTTTTGCTGCTTCATTATTGTTTCTAGATCTGGGACATGCATAGCTAATAATAATTCACAACTTTCTTCAGGCTGGAAACGGAAGCAGATTATATTGGGCTGATGCTGGCTGCTTCAGCTGGACACGATCCCCGGGTGGCACCCACAGTCTATGAGAAGTTAGGAAAGGTTACTGGGGATTCAGCACCTAGAGATTACCTCTCTACTCACCCATCTGGAAGAAAGAGGGCACAAATGCTGGCTCAGGCTAAGGTCATGGACGAAGCTCTAATTATGTACAACAATGAAAGTGAGCAGGTCCCAGGGTCTGACTAGAGCATATATATACTTAAAAGCTAGGTTTTTTTTTTTCCCTTCCCCCTCTATGCTGGCATGATGATAATTTTTTTTTACAGGTTAAAAGTGTAAAAATATCCATAAATTTTATTCAAAGTGTCCCAAAATTTAGATTAGAAACTTAGGGAATAAATTTAAAACTTATGTATTTAGAGGACCAAGGGTATACAGTAAGCATAAAATTATTAGCGTTATAGTAGTATGATAAAATTTGATAGAGTTTTTTCTTGCCGAAATTTGATGCTTATATTTTGAATGAGAGGAGATATTTTGGAACTTTGAAAATATTTCTGCGGCCTTATCATAAAAAGTAACAACCGTTGGGTAAATTTAATAGTAGTGTCATTTTTGCTATGATTTTGTAAGTTCACAGGTATTTTTGCATCTTCAAACTAGAATTTAGTTAAGAAAAATATTTTCTGTGGTTGCGTTTTTTTTTAAAATATCTTTTTGGAAGAAAATTTTTTATTAGCGCGGCCCTATTGCAAAAAGTGACAGCCGTTGGATAAATTTAATAATAGTGTCATTTTTGCTATAATTTTGGAGGTTCATAAGTACTTTTACACCTCCAAACTATAATTTATTTAAGAAAGATGTTTTTTTGTGGTTGTGTTTTTGGTTTTTAAATATCTTTTTGAAAGATATTTTTTATTACACTTCATGTGAAAATTCTCATAACCTTATATGAAAAAATAATTGTTCAAGCTTAGGAGGTTCTAAAAACCCCCCACACTACTCTACAAACATTTTGCTTTGAAAATATATTTTTTCTAAAAAAACTTTGGATTCTTTTTAGGAAGACTCCCATAATCTCACACGGAAAAGCAATCATTTAAGTCTACGGAGTTTCCCCACAAGTCATAAAAAATCATTTTTATTCATTCATTTTGATTAAAAAAAAAAATTGTTGAGATTCACGGTGGAAAATCCGAGATGCCACATAAATAAAGCAAGGAATTGATAATTAAATTCACAATGGACAATTTGAGATGGCAAGCAACAAGGGCATGTAGAAACAAAACATATGGTGAGTCTCACATGTATTTGAAACTAATGGTGGAAACAAGAAAATTCCTACATGATTGGAAATGTCACCTCCATGGAGTGCACATATAACAATGTTAAGAAGCAAAGGGAAATAAAGATGAGAGAGTACAGAAAGATATAAACAATATTACATGCCATGCAAGTCCGCCATACTCATATTGAAATGATAAATGAACGAAGCCAATGCAATGAGCATATTTTTTATTTGAGAAAGACAAAGCAAGATAAATATCGAAGTCATCTCACAAGATTGCCTTGGTAGTCCGTGGGCATTTCATGGGCAAGAAGTAAAACCATGATCCCATATATGGTTAGTCTCTTATGTGATGAGCTATGTGTATGCCTCCATCTCTATGGTTTGCCTCCAGAATTTTTTCTTTAACCCTTACTCTTTTATTTATAGGCTTTACGTAGGGTTTTGTAACTTTTCTATTTAGGAACCAATCATAATCAATTTGTGATTTTTTATTTTTATTTTTATTTACAATAATAACTCCAAAAGATATATATATATTTCCAATTGGGAAGCTGATAGATCATCTTAAATGAGGGTTTTATTTTTCTTTTTCTTTTTTTATTTTTCTTATTTGTTTCTTTAATGATTCTAGAACACGTCTCTTAATCTGGAGGCCAATCAGCAACAAATTATATCTTTTCTTCTATTATCATTTATTGTAGGGAGAATAATTTTGTTTGATCCTTCTTTTTACTTGTCGTACGATGGACTTTTCAAACTTGGCCACCACAGAAGATTTTAGAAGGATTTCTTTTTTTCCCCCCAAAAACAAGCATTTCTTTTTTATTATTTCTTCATTTATTTGATTTTTTATTTATTAGGGGGTCCTGACAAAATGGGTGTTAAACCAGAACAAACCTACTTAGCTTCCACTTTGAAACATAGAAGCGCACTGAAGTTGTGAATAAGAATTTTGCCGATGTGTCCAAGGGATGTTTTAGTGCATAGCCTTGCTGATAGTTAAGTTCCATTATATCCCTTTAAATGTCTATGAATCATGCACATTCAAGTATTTTTGCTTAGTTCTGATCTTTGAAATTTCTTATCAAATATTTGATATTCCCTATAATTGCTGCTTCTTTTTAGCAAATTTATGTGATGCAGCCTTCGATACATGGCCATTGTGCATACACGACATTTATGTAGCAGCAAGCAGAAATGTGCCCAACAGAAATCAAATTAGAAGCTAAGAGTTATAATTTGTTACCAATTATTGCAATACGCGTAGTGGCTTGAGTTAGAATTTGGCCGTTCCCCACACTCCTTGCCCACATCTGTTGAAGGAAAGACGAGTTCATATGGTCTGTTCCCATTGATAAGGGAAGAATGGGCCAACCTATGATGGTTTCAGGTTTAAGTATCTTTCAATTGAAAACCATTAACATACCAACGGGAGTTGGGTCTAACGGAAATGACTAGTCTCTCACAATGTGGTGAACTAAAGTTTGAATCCCCGCTGGAAGAGGTGTTCACATTTAGTGCAAGACAGTGCCTCGAATAGGATTGCCTCGAATAGGAAGATACCTATACTTTAGCAAAAAAAGAAAACCATTAACATAGTGGAGGCTCTTTTTCTATCCTTTTTATCCTAAATAAACAGGGGCACCTTGCATAGCTAATCTTTTTAGCCTCCTCTGCATATTTATGTACCACTCTGGTCCCAAATACAAGTCACTTGTAGGGGAAAAATTTGTCTAAATATAAACCACTTGAAGTATATTTAATACTTGTTTTTTAATTTTACCCTTATTTAATTCTCATTAAAAAGAAATAAATAAGGGAGAGATATGAAAATGATTTGTGAATGTAGAGAGACAGAGAAAACCTTAATAAGGGTAAATTTGAGAAAATATGTTAATTTAATGCATTCATTTGTATGTAAGAATGTGTTACAAGTGACTTATATTAAGGACTAAAGTGATATATTATTTACATGGATTATTAAAGTATTAGGTAGTGAATAGAATGAATAGCTTTAAGTAGGATTGGTAACGTTGAATCCACATGGATCGGGTTGAAAAAGACTCGTTTAAAAGTGAAAGTCAACCCTAACTCGTCAAGGCTGGTTGGTGGGTTGGCCCACCAACACTTATTTATTTTTTTTTGAATTTTTTTTTACTTTTTAATTTTTTTCTTATACAATATCCAAAAATAATAATAAATTTTTTTGTTTTTTCTTGAAATATTTAATTGAAAGCATCAAATAAATTATATAGGTATTTTTTAATTTTTTTAAATAGGATATAATATATAATAATATACTTATAACAATTAAATTTTTTTTTAAAAAAAAGATGCAAGTTAGCTCGCTGATTGGTGGGCCTAGCAGTGTGGGAAAAGCTCGTTTACGAGTTGGGTGGTTTTTTACCAACCCTAACCCGTCATTTTTGACGGGTTGACAGGTTGGACCCATGGATTCAATCCATATTACTAGTTCTAAATGAAGCACATCTATTAAAGAAAAGTCGAGTTCATATGACCCATCTGGGATAGGCCAACCAGATCCAATTTGCCAATCCTTTCGTCCTTGTTTTTGGATGTAACTTCGGTCTTATTACCGTATTCTCGATTTTTAAGTACAAATAAAAGGTTACTCTCCGCAGGCGCAGCCCTATAGTGAAACCAAAGAAAATCTTCATTAATGAAGTATATACTTTTGATGCCTAATCACGTTGCTTCTTTCAGGCCCCACCTTTTCCTACCCAAGAATGTGCATTGTCTTCTTGTCGTGTTATGTGAGAAGTTGGCAACTGTTGCCTTGGAGAACCAGTCCTTGCGTGATGAACAAGATAATGACCATCGTCAAGTTTTATATTCTGTTATGATAAACTCTGTTTTCTTCCACTCTTAGGGTCTCTTATATTTCATTTTCTCTATAGCCTTCTCTTAAGCTATAATGTTGGCAGGCAATTTGAACATGGATTCCATATATTTAACGGCAGCCCTTGTAGCCATAGTTTGGGCGGTGTTTGTGCTTAGAAAAGATGGCAAAAGCAGAATTCTGTCTCAGAAGAAAAGAAAATATCATGTTGTTTCTGGCACTGCTTTACACCAAATGTTCAATTTTCATAGGCTACATGATTACATGTCAGACCTGGCAGGAAAGAACCAAACTTACAGGCTACTTACCTTAGGAAGGAATGAAGTTTACACCACAGACCCCATTAATGTTGAATATATCCTCAAGACAAACTTTGCGAACTATGGAAAGGTACAACGTTAGTTTCGGTTCCTAATTGTTTTATTCTAATGACTTCTTTTATCTTTCTACTTCTTAAGAAGTTCAGTTTATCACGTTTACTCTTAGAATTTCTTCACTCTGGTGCAGGGTGAGTACCAGCATACAATCTTGAAGGACCTTCTGGGTGATGGGATATTCACAGTGGATGGAGAGAAGTGGAGAAAACAGAGAAAGATAGCAAGCTACCAATTCTCCAGCAGGATTTTGAGAGATTTCGGCAGTTCAGTGTTCAAATCTACTGCAGTTAAGCTTGCAGCAATGGTATCTGAAGCTTCAACTCCTAATCAGATGTTAGAAATACAAGTAAGATTTGCTAAACAGATATAGCAATAAACATATCTTTAGATAAGATGTTTTTTTACTCATTCATATTGTGTAGGTTCAAATCTCCTTAATATCATGAATAACCAATCACCCAAGTGTATGCGACAAAGAATTACCATCCTTATTAGTTTTAGCTGCATATGAGCATGACATTATTTCTGATGAAAAAATGAATAACAAGAAAATCTATTCATGGTGGTTATTGTCAGGATCTGTTTTTCAAATCAACCCTAGACTCAGTGTTCAAGGTTGTTCTTGGTGTAGAACTAGACACCCTGAGGGGAACATATGAAGATGGCGCCAAGTTCTCTAACGCTTTCAACGATGCAAGTGAAATAACTTTACTTCGTTATGTTGATATTTTCTGGAAAATCAAGCGGTTCCTGCACATAGGATTAGAAGGCTCATTGAGGAAAAATATCAAAGTGGTAGATGAATTTGTGTACAAAATAATCAGAAGCAAGACGGAGCAAGTCCAGAAGTCACCAGATGGGTCTGCAAGGAAAGACATACTGTCAAGGTTCCTAGACTTAGAAGAGACAGATCCAAAGTACCTTAAAGACATCATCCTTAGTTTTATCATCGCGGGAAAGGACACGACAGCAACAACAATGACCTATTTCCTTTACTCTCTCTGCAAATATCCTCATGTGCAGGATAACATTGTGGAAGAAGTCAAAGATGTTACGAAGTTAAAAGAATTTTCAACTGTTGAGGAACTTGCAGATAATATAACCGAAGAAGCACTTGAAAACATGCAGTATCTTACTGCAGCTTTGACTGAGACACTCAGACTCTACCCAGCAGTTCCATGGGTGATCCAACATATGCACATGGACTTTTTTTTTTTTTTTTGCCCTAATGATGAGAATTGAATGTTTTGTTTTTCTGACACTGTCATATGGTGTTTCCGTGATAGGATGCTAAGGTTTGTTTCTCAGATGATACCTTGCCAGATGGATTTAGTGTGAAGAAAGGAGATCTTGTTTCATACCTACCTTATGCCATGGGCAGAATGAAATACCTGTGGGGTGATGATGCTGAGGAATTCAAGCCAGAGAGATGGCTGGACACAAATGGAAAGTTCCAGCAAGAAAGTCCTTTCAAATTCACAGCTTTTCAGGTAACACTCTACTAAGGTTTAAGTACCAGTCTTGTTACTCCCTTCTTTCCTAAATATAGGAATTAGTTGAGAAATTTGTTGAAGACCCAAATTTTCTTTGTCACCTACATTTTTCTCAAACTAGCCCGATGAGCAGAGGTAGCCTCCCATGTAAATAATTAAAAGGATGAGTGTTTTAGAGAAGTCAATACGCATATTTTAGGCAAATATGATCAGTCAATTTCCCTAATATCCAGTCCATAGCACCGAGCCTGAAGGGCAAGTTGCACTACTCATAGCTTGTGAACAATGCAACTTGCTAGAGAATTACAGAGATATATATATATATATATATATATATGAAAGATTTTCGAAAATACTAAAAGGTTCTAGCTTTAAATCCAGTCATAACTATGCATTCTCTAATTGTCTTACAGTCTACTCTTGAATCAAAACAACGAAGTTGCTAAGCCTTTTTTGTTGCCCCAGAAGATAAAATCTTTGAAAGTTGATCTATATGAACTCTGTTTTTAAACCACAGGCGGGTCCAAGACAGTGCCTAGGAAAAGACTTTTCTTACAGACAGATGAAGATCTTCTCTGCAATTCTTTTAAGCAGCCACAAGTTCAAGCTTGCAGACCAAAGCAAAACAGCACATTACAGAACTGCTCTTACTCTGCATATGGATGGGGGTCTTCACCTTTATGCTTACCCCAGATTGGGACACCTAAAATCCTAGATACTCAATAAAAGTAATGATTCACATTGTATTACTATAAGCTAGACTCCTTTTCAGTAAAATCATTACATAAGCAGGAGGAGAAGAAGAAGAAGAAGGAGAAAACACTTAAATAAGTTGCACTGTAATTGTGTGATATATTAATTCATATTTAGATTGTACCTAAGATAATCGTCGTTTTATATGTACGTAAAGTTAGAAAGGTATTAGATATATTAGAGTATATCCTTTTATCAAATGTAAGTATATACTTAGACTCCACTTATCATTATTTTCATTACTAAATGGTAAAATGGTATAGAGATGAATGCTCGGTTAAAATCTTAAAATGCCAATTATTTTGAAAACAAAATTAGAATTTAAAAATGACAGTTAGTGTAAAACAGGAAAACACTATTAGTCATGTTATTTTGAAACTTGCGGGAGGTAGGGAGTCAATACCGATTATCCAAAAGGGAAAAAAGACATAACTGGGAAACAAAAAAAAAACCATCTCCAATCCCCCTGTTCCTTCTTACAAGGAACTTTTGACAATTTTAAGGATCATTTGAAATAATTTATAATTAATTTCTTAATCACAATTTATAGAATACAAAGTAAGTATGTAAGAAGAGTTTTATCTCGATTTATATAAAATATATTTACAAATACCATCAAACGTTATCCCAAGCATATCTTAACCTGTTTCCAAATACAAGAACTTTTTTTTTTTTTCACTTCTACTGACCTCATTTAATATTTAATATTTTCTAACAAAATTACCCCCCATTGAGTCATTTCATTAGTTAATGGGAATCCTCGCATTAACAGTGTTCTATGGAAGGTACTTTAGTAAAATGGTACCACTTTGATACTTTTTATTTGTCACTTAAAAAAAATTTTCGCATACAGGAAAAAAATTAAATAGATAAAAAATTTTATTTTTATTTTATTAAATAGGTAGTATATTTTCTGTCATTTATTTCTTCTCTCTTCGCCTTTGTAATCAATATGGGTAAAATTAAAAATGAAACATTAAAAAAGGTCCAAGTGACAGATAAAAAAAAATCAAAATCTTTTAGTACAAGTGACAAATAATAAGGATTAGAGTTGTAGAGTACTCTATTTTTAATTAAAATCACTAATTTCTTAGTCTTTTTAATTAAAATCACTAATTTCTTAGTCTTACTTGAATAATTAAAATTTCTTATGAAAATAGGAGCGATTAAAACAGTATGACCATTAAAATAACCAGTGCATTTGAGAATAGATGATAATAAAATTTGCAGGCTTCACAACTTGCTGCTGGAAAATGTCAGCCACCATAAATCAAGTGACCAGAGACCACTATATATCTGTACCATTCACGGAGGTAGTATTCCTTTTTTGCTTCAGACTTCACGCGGGCTCTATTAAATGCCCCAATGCCCTCATAATGAGACGCGGTGAGAAACCAGAAGACAACCTGTTAAAGTGCACAGCAACATCTTTTAACAATTGATTCTACATTTTAACTGTAAGTATGCATATAGCAGTATTGAAATAAAAAGGGTTTCAGGTTAATAACTCCTCTTTCTTTTGTAACAAGGTTAACAACTCTTTGGTCAAGAAAAAGCAAGTGCGGTTAATAACTCCACTGGCTGAACCTCACCTGCCAACTGCAACAAGAACGCTTCATTAATACCCTTTTATTTATAGCTTTCCCTAATGCGCAGACCTCAACATCCACCTCCATTGCTGGCTGTACTATCTTTCATTTTTCCAAATGGAAGCCATTTCCAAGCAAAACCAAGTTCCTCTCTACCATACAACCACATGCCCTGACCCTTTCACTCTCTTCTCACACCATCTCCTTTTAAAACTCTCTCAATCTCTCTGGCTTTTGACCCCTTTTCTGCTAGCATTTACTGAAGCATTCTTGCTTCTGCAGAACTTTGAACCCATGATTCATTTCCTCCTCCTCTGTAGTTTCCTTCTGTGTTTTGCACTGAAGCACTTCCTTTCAAGGCCTTCTTCAGTTTACCTGGTGGACTACTCGTGTTTGAAACCCCCAGGTTCCTGCAGGGTACCTTTCTCATCTTTCCTAGAAAATGTATCACTTATGGGTTATTTTGACAGAGAGAGCATAGCTTTCATGGGTAAGATCCTTTCTTCTTCAGGACAAAGTGAACTGACATGTCTTCCTCCTGCATTGCACTACATTCCTCCCAAGACCCATCAAAGTGAATCCTTCAAAGAAGCTCAAATGGTCTTGTTTCCCATCATTGATGATCTCTTAGCCAAAACTAATCTCTCTCCCCTTGACATCGACATACTCATCTTCAACTGTAGTAGCTTTTGTCCTGTTCCTTCTCTGAGCTCGATGATCATCAACAAGTACTCCATGCGAAGTGACATTAAGAGCTACAATATCTCTGGTATGGGATGCACTGCGAGTGCCATCGGCGTCGATTTGGCTAGGCATCTTCTGAGTGTTCACAAGAACTCCAACGCCATTATTATCAGCACAGAGTTTCTATCAACGGGTTGGTACTCTGGTAATGAACGTTCCAAGCTGATCATAAACTGTCTGTTTCGAATGGGGAGTGCAGCAATTTTACTCTCAAACAAGAAAGAAGCGAAGAAATCTTCAAAATATAGAGTGGTTACCACACTCAGAACCCACATGGGCTTCGACGACCAAGCTTATACCTCCGCAATTAGGGAAGAAGACTCCCAAGGAAATCTCGGGGTGACGCTGCAGGGAGATTTGCTTAAGGTCGCCGGCGAAACTCTCCGTTCAAACATTACCAATCTGGGTTCTGAGATCCTTCCTTTCTCAGAGAAATTCTGGTACGTTGTCAGGGTTTTGAAGAAGAAGATAATGATGAACAAGTCGGAAGGCATTCAGGCGCCGAATTTCAAAGCAGTGATAAACCATTTCTGCTTGCCGTGTTCTGGCAGGGCGGTGATAAGGGAGATCGGAAAAGGGTTGAGGCTTACAGAGAGAGACATGGAAGCGGCGTTGATGACTCTGCATAGGTTTGGGAACCAGTCGTCGTCTTCACTGTGGTACGAATTGGGTTACTTGGAAGGCAAGGAAAGAGTTCAGAAAGGTGACAAGATTTGGCAATTTGGGATGGGAAGTGGGACCAAGTGTTGTAGCGTCGTGTTGGAGTGCCTGAGGCCCATTATTGGAGAGTCCAATAAGGGCCCATGGGCCGACACCATTAATCAATACCCAATCTAAGTGCTTTGATTCGGAACCCCATCTATTCAATGCTCAAATGTTATTTCTCATTCACAATTTTAAATATCACGTGCAATTGAAGATACAGATAACATGTGACAGCTTCAGCAGGAAATTCAAGAATTAACTATATATATATATATGTATGTATGTATGTATGGGTCAAATGCGAACTAGATTTAGCTTTGTACTGACATCAATTTTTAATTTTTTTTTTGGGGTATATAATATGGAATGAGGCTCTCATTTCATAAGGATAAAGGATGTCTTTCTGTCTGATACTAAGTTTATAAGTTTTTTTTCCAAATTCTTAAGAGTGCATGTATTAAGAGTGTTTCGTTTCTTTTCTTTTTACAAAAAGAGGGTTTTGTTTCTGTTAGGGATGATTAATGCAGAAGATTAAAAGAATTAACACATTTTTTAAAATAATTAATATAACTAGCTTCTTAAGTTCAGCCAATTAGTTACATGAAGTACTTTGATTTTAAATATAAGAGTTAGTTAGTTGAAGTTTGCTCTGATCTTAAATATAAAATTTTAAGTCATTTTGTTTTTTCAAATTTATAATTTTTTTAAGTTATTCTCATTGATTGTGTGAAAGGTAGTTTTTTTTTTTTAATCTATGGGATAGTTATCAAAGAGAGTATGTTAAATAAACTAATATATATTTATTATAAATATTCTAACTAATGTGACTAATTTACTAGTAATTATCTCACTCCTACATTTAAAATTGGAGAGAGTGTAAGTATAGTCCTACATCTATTCCAATGCTGCGCGGGAAAAATCACGTTCCTCCTCATATTTGTATTAAATGTGTACGTATACAAAATTAAATAAGCACAATTAATTCTATCACCTCGAAAGCACGTGATATTTATTTTATTTTTTTTGTAAAATGATCTTTCAATATTATGGACTTGCCCTGGTTACGGCAACTGGTTAATGACCGGAGTGTTTAAATAGAAACAAAACTATAATTTTAAAAGTGATTTTATGATATATGAAGTAAATGGGTCTGGATTCTCTCAGCGGCGGCATCTCTCAGCGTCTCTCAGCGTCCCGATAACTACCATTAGATTGATCTAAGAGCTCACAATATGCCATATCATCATGCTATTAAAAATTAAAAATAAATCTAATTAATGCTATAAAATTGCCTTAAAAAAAGAATTATTCTTTTTTTAAAAAAATCTGAGTGCAACACCTAATTTCTTGGATCTACTTGTTTTAATTGTAGAGTTTATTAAGAGTCCAAATTAATATAAATTGAGTCAGATAAGATCACAAAGAGAAGTAAAGTTCTGCCATCAAATAAAATCACTTGATATAGTTTTGCCACTCTTTATGGTTTTGCCTGACTTGATTTGTTTTAGATTAAACTTAGATAAATTTTCCAGTCTAAGATAGATAAGTCCAAAAAAATTATATATAAATATTTGATGGTTAAGTTTTTTCATTCTTTATGGTTATCTGGATAAGTTTGGAGTCTGAATGTCTCACAGATTCTCTAACTAAAATGAGCCAGGTGAAAAAAAACTGAATATTCAATGCTAAAAATAATCCCAGTTGAAATCTAGTAAAAAAAATTTACACTACAGTTCAGATTTATTTCTAATTTTTAATAACATCACGACGTGGCACAATATGATCTGTGTTAGATGAATTTTAATGGCTGTGATTGCGCCGCTGAGGGACGCTGAGGGAAGAGGACGCTGAGAGTATCCTCTTCCGAAGTAAATATGTAAAAGAGTTTATCTCGATTTATGAAAAAATATTTTTTAAGAGTACTTATTAGGTAATCCGGACATTTGGGATTAAACTGATTCAGATCGAGTTAAACAAAAATATAAAAGATAACAAAACTTTTTTATAAATTATTTTACATCACATAATTTTCAAGACTCGAACTATAGAGTTAAAATAGTAAATATAATATCACCTTCGATTCTTAATACCAAATTTAATTTTTAGTTTAATTTTAAACTGCGATTAGATATTATATTAAAAAAAAGTAATAAGTGATCATCGATGGGCATATGCTTTGCAAGGACAAGACTATAAAAGCACAACCTTGCTAGAATTGTGGGTATGGAAATTCTACTAAAAGGACAGGTTCTCATCAGAGTTTGTCTATGGACTCAGAAGCATGCATGAGAGGAATTCAAACTCACTTTAATTTCTCAATGATCAATTATTGATGCACCGACACATGGAACTAGTTTCAATGTTCTTTTCTTTGATACTCCATACTCCCTCCGTTCCTTATTATAAAAGACGAATAATCGAATTACGTTGATAAAAAAAGCAGTTAAAATTAGTTAAGAACAATCAATGTGTAAAAAAATATAATTTTTTTTTCCAAAAATGCCCTCATTAATAAGGAGAGAGAACATGAGAGAGAACAATTAAATTATTAAAAGAAAGAAAAGTGGGAGGGAGAGAGAGTGTGAATTGGAGACAAAATAAATATGGGTAAAATAGGAAATCAACACAAAAAAGTAGAGATAACTTTTAAGTGTCTCTTATATATAGGAACATGCCATAAGCATCAAATGTCTCTTATAATAAGGAACGGAGGGAGTATCTATTACTCCTTTGTCCCTTGTTATAAAATACTTTTAACTAAATTACACGGTTTAAGAAAACAGTTAAAATTAGTTAAAAACAATTAATATATAACAAATGTAATTTTTTTCAAATATACCCCTATATATAAATGGATAAATGTGAGAGAGTAATAGTGAGATAAATGAAGAAAGAGAATGTATTAAATATATTAAATTATGGGGAAAATAGGTAATACTACATTAAATACTCAAACAAACTCAAAGAAGATCTTATAAAAAAGGACAATGCCATTCAAAAAATTGGATCTTATAATAAGAGACAGATGGAGTGTATCAGAATTGTTTATATCTAATTTGAATAGTCCAAATTTAAAATTTTTAATTAATTATTTTTAAATAGAAAAACTATTTTTTGAATAAATGATAATTAATATATTATCTCTATTTTAGATTCTATACATATTAAAATAATTATTTTAAACAAGTAAAATGTAAAAAAAAAAAAAAATCCAAACCATCTAAATAAGATATCTCTAAATATGACGAGTTTAAGGTGCACCCAACCTGCAGGTACCAGTGCTAGTCATCTTCGTCTTCCTGTGGTCTTTGAAACTTGCAGGTTCCATGAGCTTTAGATTCTTGTTCATCTGAGACCAAATTATCTATCCTTTAATTTATTTTCAAGCAAATAAAAATTAGGCTGAGCAGTATAACACGTGTGACATTTTTTCCTCAGGCATCATGGGATCTATAAGTTTAATTTTAATAATCAAGTGATTATTCAGGTAGCTGCATTTGAGACTTTATTAGTTTGGGTATATCAGCAACATTTTGGCTTAACATACATTTAGAATCAACGACCATGTTATACAAATGTCATAGACGCAAGCTGATTGGCCAAAAATCTCATTGATAGTGATGAGGTCAAAGATAATTGGTCCATTTAAAATCGGTTTCTAATAAATATAATTGCATTGACAACAACAACGATAACAGAGCCTTATCCCACTAGGTGGGGTCGGCTATATAGATCATACGACGCCATTGAACCCTATCCAAAGCCAAGTATTTAGATAAATTGTTAATTGAAAGATCTCTCTCAATAACTTCATTAAGCATTGTCTTCGGACTTTCTCTACTCCTTTTTAGAGGACTCCATATTGTTTGCTCAACTCTTCTTACCGGCGGGTCCCAAAGCCTTCTTTGCACATGACCAAACCATCTCAATCAGTTTTCTACCATTTTCTCATCAATAGCAGCCCTCCAACTTTTTCTCTTATATGTTTATTATGGATCTTGTCTTTTCTTGTATGACCACACTCAACATTCTCATTTCAGCAACTGCTACTTTATGTTCATGTTGTCCCTTTAAAGCCCAACACTCGCTGCCATATAGCATTGGCGGTCTTATAGTAGTGTTATAAAACTTTCCTTTGACCTTATTTGGTACTTTCTGATCACAGATAACTCTTGTCGTTTTTCTCCATTTAAACCACCCAACTTGAATTCTATGATTAACATCTCCATCAATTTCCCCATCTTTTTGTATAATTGATCCCAAATATTTAAACTTTTCCATTTGTTGAATGACTTGGTCTCCCAATCTGACTTCCAACTCTGTACTAACTTGTCTCTTATCAAAACTGCAATGCATATATTCCGTCTTGCTTCTATTCAGACGGAAACCCTTCGATTCCAAGGTTCTTCTCCATGTCTCAAGTTTAGCGATAATCTCTTCTTTTGACTCAGCCAATAGAACTATATCATCAACAAAAAGCATGCACTTCGGGATTTCTTCTTTGATATGCTCAGTTAGAACATCGAGGATTAGGTTAAACAGGTAAGGGCTTAGAGATGATCCCTGATATAGACCAATCCTTATAGGAAAGTCTTTTGTCTCACTGCCTGGTGTTCTAACACTAGTTGTGACCACCTCATACATGTCTTGTATGATTTTAATATAAGTGACATGCACCCCTTTCTTCTCCAAGGCTCTCCAGAGCACTTCTCTAAGCACAGGGTCGTAAGCTTTCTCCAAATCAATAAAAATTATGTGCAAATCTCTTTTATGACTTCGGTACTTTTTCATTAATCCTTTTAGTAAATAGATCGCTTTTATTGTCGATATTCCTGGCATGAACCCAAATTAGTTTTCAGAGATGCAAGTCTTCGATCTCAAACTGTAATTACATTGACATTTTAAAAAAATTATTTTAAAAAACAATTCGTGTTATTGGTTCTCATGTTCATGTGCATTCACTACTGTTTAGATTTTCGTCTAGCAGAAGTATATGCTACTCTTCTTTAAGAAGGCTCTTCCAAGGCAAAATGGTTGTCAGTGAATCTTTCTGATTTTTTTTTGTAAAAAATCTAATTTTGTCCTTATTTAAATCCACATGGAAAAATGAGCCAACGCAATAATAAATATCCCGTCTGAAAC